TCACAATGCAGTAAATCACTGTATTGCAAGGCATGTAGACCTAAGTGTTAAAAAACATATAAGGGAACTGTCAAGCATAAAACATTAAAAAGTGTTCAATGCTTTAACCAAGGCGGCTGTATTAGTGTTATATAAATAAATACTGATTGATTTTTTTTTTTAAATGCAAATAGCATCACAGATAGTTTTATTAACTGTCCCTATCAGCACTCTATTGGTTCTTTTTGCATCTTGGGCACCGACCTTATCCAGGACCTAAAGAAGAGGCTCAATATCAGCCTGCTAACTAAGAAAGCACACAGCACAGGATGTATTTGAAATCCAACCCCTCAAAGATCATGATTTCCTACACCTCCATCGCAGAGTCCATCCTCACCTCCCCCATCTCCATCTGGTGCTCCTTTCCCACTGCCAAGGACAAGTGCAGACTGGGGCATGTCATACATTTCACAGATTAGCTGTAGTTTGCCATCTCCGAGGATCCTGAGGCAAACATAGAGGATCTCAGTCGACCACTCGAACCCCTGACCCAGCTATCATGAAACACACCAGAGGCTTCAGCCCATTAAAGACAAGACCTCACGTTACAAATTTGCATCCTCCTGACGAAAGACAGCCTTAGGGAGCAGCCCAAGATTATTGTCCACAGTTAAACAAATCAACATCGCATCTTCAAAAACTCATTAGATCAAAATGTTTCCCTTAGGGCTTACAGGCTTCTCCTGTCCCAGTCTACAAGAACATACACACCAGCAGACATGGCTCAACCAGACTTCTGAGGTGGTGGACAGTGATGGATAGAAAGAGAAGTTGTACTAAGAAGCGGTGGGAACAAACAAGAAAAGGGCAAATACAGCTTTTCAGACTGTGTTTATCAGACATGTTTCATGTTTAATAAGTATTCCCAGCAGCTTGTAGACTTCCATTTATTTACCGGTCCCAATGTGACACTGAAAAAGCAGCACGTCGCTTCCAATTTGGGAGACACCAAGAATGAAAGCGCACAGGATGTGTGTTTTAGAGAGAGACTCTCAGAGGTATTCTCAAACACCAATCCTCAAGGTTCACAGAGCCAGGCAAGGAAAGCCATGCTGCCTTTACCTCCTTGAGCACTACCAGCTCGAGATCAAACATTGGTCTCTTTGCTTCCTGTTCTATAATGCTGAGATAAAAATTATTTCTTTGTGCTTAAAGGGATATTCGGTGTAAAATGCAATTAGGGTCAAACACACCACGAAGCCTAAGTTAGACACCCCATCAAGAGATGAATGTTGCCGACCGCTTGCTTCTCTAGTTATACCAACCTTAGCAACGACCACACGATAGCAATACACAGCAGTCCCAGGAGCCACACGCTCAACCAAAAAGCCACTGTATAGCCACAAATAATGTTCAAAACAGCACCTAACTTCATCAACAGTACACATAGGGTCCCAGCCATAGTACTAGCCACCAAACATCTTTTAGCTTTGCCTAATTTCTTTAGCAAAGAGACCAAACACAACTCACCTACTCTTCCCCAGCAGCCGCTTGTTTGTAGTGAATCCATTACCGCAGCGGAGTGACACAGCTCAAAGAAGAACATGTATGATTATTTTTTCATGGAAATGCAATCGGACCGAGACGCCTAGGCAAAGGAACTACTGCGTCTGCAGTGCAAAATGATTATTATAATGATTATTCAAGGAAATTATGAAGTAATGATCATAAATCTTCTTCCTTGAGCTGCGTCACCCCACTGTCAGCCGGAGGTCTCCATAAAAACAAGCGGCTGCTGGAAGAGAGTGGGTGAGTTGTGTTTAGTCTCTTTGCTAAAGAAATTAGGCAAAGCTAAAAAGATGTTTAAAAAAGCAAGCTAAGGAAACTAGAGAAGCAAGCTGTCGGCAACATTAATCTCTCGACAGGGTGTCTAACTCAGTGTTATGGTGTTTTTGACCCTAGCTTAATTTAATGCTGGAGTATCCCTTTAAACATCATGCAGAGGAACAAAAGACAAGTCCAAGAAGTTAATGATCTTGATATAAACCTGCCATAGCTCCTTTTGGTCCCTGTCAGTCCTGTCAGCAACATAAAATAGTGTTGTATTCATGTGAACCTGGATTCCATATGGAAAACTACATATTGATGGATTCACTGACAGTGAGTGCCTACTTTACTTAGGAGGGTTTGTGCTTACGTAAGAGTTTAGCTGATGTTTGATCAGCTCTGGGGAGCTGATAGGAGCATAAAAGGGTAGATGGGTGAGTAAGTCATCATTAAGTATGAGTCATCATTCCCACTCCTCTACCTTTAGTCCAGCTTCCCAAAAAAGTGACAAGGTTGCTATGGTGACAGAGTGTGTCCTTTAAGTGGATGAGGGTCTTGCTGTGAGGTTCAGTGTTGTGTTGCTCTGGTTAAAGGTTAGGTTACTTCCTGTTCCCTTATAGAAAACTGCCGTAGAGCAGGAGATGGCCAGGAAACAGATGAAGCTAATGTTTGTACGGATCCTGAAAAAAAAAAAAACTACAGCAGTGACTTATCCCCTACATGACAGAAGATCCCTCCAAATTTCAACACACATTGAACCTCTAACACTGCTGATAGGTGCTCTGATCAGCCTCCAGCAGAATAAGATACATACCAAGGTCAAATATGAACTAAAAATATCAGTGTATCTCTGTGATAATGCAGGCAGTGCATCTTTACACTGTGGGAATGCCAGATTTTTACCATGAGTGACAGTTTTTTGACCTTGTATCAACTCATTAATGCCGACAACTATGAAACATATAGTTATATACATATAGTAAATTATTTATAACTCAACAGAATAATACTCCTAAAGTGAAAAATAAGGTAACTCTTCTGGTTTGCTTTTAAAAGTCGCAGCCTGTTGAAATAGACATGATGTCTCCTCTGTTTGGGTCCAGAATGCAGATTTAATCTTCAAAGACTGGTGTTTAAGCTTGAATGTGATTTTGCTTTTCTTGCACCAACCAACTTCAGTTCATTTTACAAGTCCATAGGTTTGTGTGAAAATGGTTGGATAGGATAATCAGACATAGCTGACAATTATTTTCTTTCTGCTGTAGGATTTAGGAAATGTTGGTATGTGCTTATTATGTTGTGTTTGGGTGTCAAATCTTGGCCAGAACACTCCTGTAAAAGGGATTCTTGATCTCAATATGGCTTTCCTGGCTGAATAAATAGGACATAGTACACTAGTATATAATAAGTAAATAAATAAAATTACTAGGACCATTTGTCCTTCATGATAATTTGATAATGTAGCAGCAGAGGAGAAATTCAAACGATTCAACAATCTTTCAATATTAGCTAAAGCTACAGCACCATCTTGTGTTAGATGTGAGGCATTACATTCCAGTCAAACCTTAAGCTCCTCCATGCCTCACATTTTTTAAAGGTTATCAACAGTTATTCAAGATTAATTTACTCTCAAACTCCACAGTTTTTTTAATACCATAATGTGTTCCTCTCCCTCATTTTCCTCTTTTCTCTGAGGGTTGCATGAACTGTGCAAGAAATATCAACAATATTGAAATCTTCAAAAAGCATAGTATAGGTAGAAAAAGTCATACAAAAATGTGGGCTTGATTTCATTACTGTGACGTCTTCGTGTTTGATTTTTGAAAATGACTTAAATGTTTTTCAGGCCACAATCTTTCACAATTAAATATGTCATATTTGGATTCATTAAATGCTGTACATTTTAATAATATTTACCAAATTTTAAAAAAAGCCCAACTTTATAAGGTCAAGAGCTTAAAAGTAGTCAAAGGTATAAACTCCTGAGGCAATCCATCAGTGTCATGCTTTGTTCTAAACTTGAGTTAAATCCTGTAGTTCCTACCAATTGAGTTAACCCCAAATCTTAAATTTGTCTTTCAGACAGGAGAAAGTCCTTTTTCTCGTATTTTGCAAATTCATTGTCAAACTTTAATGTTTCAGCAAGTAGACATGAATTTATTTTTTAACTCATGAATAAAAAATTGAAATTTAATGTACACTAATGGGTCGTGTATTTAGTGTTAACAAGTTTATTATGTTTAATTTGTGCTACAGTCTGCAAGACAACAAAACCTGCCAGTGGCCTGAATTACAGTTTTCATGACTGTCTGCCAGAGAGCTCAAACTCTTCCATTCAGGACAATGCTCACATTTTAGGCAAAGAGGTCTGAACTGAATCTGTTCAGGTCAAAGGCTGAATCTTATCCTCAGCTTTACCAAACACTTTTAATGTTCGCTAAAACTTCAGCAGCACCGATAGGGCAGCTGCACAAACTTAAATGAACACAATACATTTCAACAAATACAAAGATTTTCAGGGGGCATTAAAATATTACCTGAAACACAAATTTGTTTTTTGAAACACTAAAACATTTTAATGAATTAAATATCTAATAAAGCTAAAACCTTTTTACAAAGTGAGAAGATGTTGTGATGAACTTAAACCATCATCATGCATATAATTGTTTAAGTGGGATCTTGAAAATCTATCGACAAAGTTGCTAGGTTGGCAACACTGGTTTTATGTAGGCTTACATGTAATCTTAAAATTTCATAAAAATATGTTAGCGCAAAAATAAATTTCAAAGGCATGTTAAAAATAAAATGGACAGAAGTTTTTGACTTATATTAATGACTTCCTTATTAAAAGGGAGGTCACACAAGCGGCTTTACAAACACCAATTGAAAAAAGTGCTTCAAGTTTTGACAAACAAGTACATCAGGAAGATGACGTATCACATTTTTATGATGAGATTCAGGCTCTTAGTCATAACAGTAGTCTTCACTTTCGGCAGGGAGGATACCTGGGGCTGAAGTACAATACAAACAGTTCAGTATGATGATGATGAATGAGATAATCCACTCTCACGCAAACAAAGATTAAACTCTCAAAGGTTTATTGTTAAAAGCAAAGACATGATTGACTGTTGTTTTTAGATACTTGTCAGACAAATACAAACATTACAAATCATATGTTAAGACAGAAAAGAGCTCCGCTGAGAATTTTACTTTCAGTTCAGTTTGACTCCCGTGAACACAAGCAGTCTTTGTTTGACTTGTCCTTTAATTTAATAGTGATTTTAGACAAAAAAAGATTGCATCTTTTTGACTTTTGGAGGTCAAATGTCTCATTTATGGTGAATATTTAAGACAGAAATTGTAACACCTCCACCCTTGCACCACTTTCAGGCATTATTTATGAATTTCACCCTGTTTAATGTATTAAAAGTTTAATGAATAAGTTTATCATAGTAAATTACTTGTCTGTTTTACATTGAATGCAGAAGAAGGAAGTAGTTGGTTTGGTCTAATTGTGGTCTGCAGCCTGGATCCAGACCTCATTGTGGTGAGTAGGATAGATAAATGGTTCAAAGCCAGCTCCTGCTGAAGAACTGGGATCATAATCTTTCAGGGCTTTATCCAAGGCCTTCTGAAGCCCCACCTTGATTTCTTTACCCTTCTCCATGCTTGGCTCACCATCAAAGACTCTGCAAAGTAATGATGAACAATGACAGAAGAAAAGCACATCAGGTGATGTCATGTTAAAGTTGAAACAAGGTTAAGATATTATGAACTAGGACTAACAACAGAATTTGAATAGTGTATTTGAATTCCATTATCTTACTAGCATCTTAAATGTGGGATAAATAAATGGAATGCTATAAATTATGCCTAATGATCTTGAATTTTAGATTTATAATTATATAAATGATGTGCTGCTACGGAAGTGGGGTCTGAAACCATGACTTAGAGCAAGAAGACAGCTTTGAAGTGTTTATTCTGTCTAATAGAGGTACTGTTTTGACCTCATAGACAACACAGTTAAAAAAATTAAGAAATATGCAGAAGAATATTTTAAAATACCCACTCAGTGTCAATATGATGTGTAGTTGCTTGCAAAAAGATTCAATAACCCACTGTGTCCAATGACCCTGTTATTGGGACAGCAGCTGCACTCTTCGGGAGTTCTAGTTTGGTTCTTTTTCCCTGTTTTGTTTGTTTGTTTGTTTGTTTTTGGACTGGTGGTCTTAAATGCATAACATTATAGTTCCCAGTGATAGTGAGGCACATGACTGGACACAACATGACAACCTAAAATGTCCCAGATAAGTTTGTGATGATTTGCACGGTCATGCTTGCCATGTAATCCAGCAAATTTTGTTTGTAATGCAGGAGTTTGTCTAATTTCCAGTTAGTTAAATCAACATCAGTAGCATGGAGCGAATTGTTTTATGGGTTAGCTCGGTGATTACATCTAAAAAAATAAAATATTGTTTCTTACTTGACGTAAACAGTTCCTGCTGGTCTTGTATCCAGTTTGACATGCTCATCAGTGTCTTCAGGTTTTTTCATACCCGGAGGAACGTACCAGGACAAATAGTGACCATCAGGACGCTCTGTGATCAGCACTGGCCAAGCGTCAACCGCAAAGTTGTAACCTGGACAAGAGAACAGTAACAGAGAGGACGTACCTTAAATAAAAATGCAGAACTGCAGAAACTAATTTCCCAGAGATGCACACAAATGTCATTAAAAACTTCATAAGTCGTATTTTAAAGATGTACCAGAAACTTTGAGATGTACCAAACTTTTGATTTTGTCAATAAGATGAAGAACCATTGTCTGTGAAGATTCACCGATGTGAATGGGTGATTTGTGTAGTTGAAATGTTACTTACTGCACTTTTCATAGCAGCTTTTGGTATTCAGGGAATAAGTATGAGCTAAAAACACATTATCAGCCAAGATGACTAAATATGGTGAGCACATCTGTTCACCCTGAAATTTTTACAACTGCCTAAGAACATTTAACTGGAACATCAACCAAAATCAGATTGAAACGTCCTCCAATATGTCCGAATAGCTTATACAAATGTATATATAAATGCACGCACACACTAGATGATAAAGAATTAGATGTAGTTAATTTTGTTATTAATAGTATAGTCTGCTTTCATAGACCAGATAGTATCATCTCTGTTAATTCAGTCTGTTTTAAAAACTCCTCTCAGGGGCTTTAAGTGTAATCATATACCTATGTGATCTTGTCTCAAAAACTGAAACACTAACTTGTGTTACATGTTGTCAGATGATGAACACATTAAAAAAAGACATTGAGTGAAATATTTTATGATATTTTTATAAATAATATTTTATAAATATTATATATATTTTATGAACAGTAGTAAAATTTTGTTTTATTTTGAGAGAAAAAAAAAAAACAGATGTAAAAATTTACAGGGACTCTCCCACATCTACTATGCATTTTAAAAAGATACAACACGGCTTAATTTAAAGCCCTGTAATAAAGGGTGTCTGTAGGGTGTGTCAGATTTAGGTATGAATCATCGTAATAGGAAATGTCTGGTGCTTTGAAAGCTGTTTTTTAGATTCAAGAGTAACGTACGATCAGAGCTTATACATTTCACTGGTTCATAGTTGGAACCATGGATTAGTACCTTTTTAAATAAACTTTGATATCAATTAACCATTTTATTTTGACTTACCTGCTGCTTTCTGTCTCTTGCAGTAATCCCCCAGCCTTACATTTGCTGCCCATAAGTCATTGTTCTCAACTTTGGTGGTGATCCAGTCAGTTGCTTCATAGAGACGTTCCTCATAATCCTGAAGACAAACAGAGACCACGAACAGATTTTCCAGTCATACTCTGGTAAGAAAAAAATACTTACGAAAAGAATGTGTGTGTGAGCGAGCTGAATAAACACCTACATCAGTTTTTGAAACCGGTTTAAAGTGAGGACAGTTCTGCTCGTGACATAGGACCTGCCCTCTGCAGAGCGATACCAGGAGAAAAGACCCCAGCAGGACCAGCAGCTGCTCCATGATTCTCCTCCGCTCTCCAAAGTGATTCTGCATACCAGCTGCAGACACACTCTGTATGTCAAGTTAATGGTGATGCAGATTTACAGGTTTTTCAGGTCAGACAGACACTCCTATGTTTTAAATAGAATAATTTGGTTTCGTTTCATTATTTTTTTATAACAATGGTTGAAGCATTTTTCTAGTTCACACATTAAATGAACAGTGCATTAGTGGTAAATGTTTGCAGGTGTGTGGTCACCCTTTGGGTTTTTAGTACACTGTAAGAGAGTGTAACTGATGATTTTCCTTAACACACAATCAAATAAGGCATGTAAAACCTTAACTACTGTGTATCATTTCCTTTCCTTTAGGCTACATAACCTTTTGAATTGGTTGGGATGGACCTCACAGGGAAGCTTCAACCAACAAATGACAGACACCAGTACATCTAAGTCATGAATGATTAATATAATAAGTGGCCACAAGTCTACCTGTTAAAGAGTAAATGTGCAGAGGTAACTGAAAATTTTTTAAAATTTGTTCACTAGTTTGAGGCCCAAAAAAGAAACTTGACGGACCAGGAAGGGGGATTTGTAAACGTGGTACATTTGTTTTTATTACATTAATTTTTTTATTGCTTTAAGTACAGAACTTTAAGTTTTTTATTTTGTTGGCACCTTTATAACAGAATAGCTTTATTTGATGTGTTTTGCAGTTGATAACACGTGACTTTGCGGCACCACCGAGGCCACTGCCCTTTGGTGAGGAGCCACAACATATTGTGGCTCACACCTCATAAAATGTGCCGCAACTGCAACGCGTTTTGAGTATTCCGGTAATGGTTTTAAGTCCGCTCAGTGACACACAGCCAGAGCTGGACATACAAACACACAAAAAAAATGACCTTTTCTGATGCCACTGGGGGGCGCTTTGCCGAAAAAACAAAATGTCTTGAGAAATGTGTTCAGGGGCGAATACCGCGCCATCTCGGAAACTTTCAGGCCTTTAGGCAAAAACATGACCGAGCTATGACGATTTGAAATTTTGGAAAATGTAATTAAAGTAATATTTAAGTAATATTTAATAACAAGCTTGCTGGTGCATAAAAAATATAGATTTTCTACTTTGCTACTTTGTGTTGGTCTATGACAAAAAAATCTCAATAAAATACTTTTAAATTTGTGGTTGTAGAGTGACAAAATGTGAAAAAGTTCAAGGGGCATGAATACTTTTTTCAAGGCACTGTAAGCTCGGAGCTTCTGGTACACTCTATGGTTCTCCACCCGATCTCTGTCTGTGGTTTTGTTCCCTAACAACTTTAACAGCAGATGGCGCAATGAGACAAGGAGGCGTGAGAAGCGAAAACGGGTGGAGAAGTGAGGGAGGAGAGAGAGTCTGTTCTCCTGACTAACGCACCTTAGCATTCTGGCTCTCCTGGCTATGCACCTGCAACCTCGCCTTGCAGTTCTCCTCCTCTTCTTCCTCCTCCTCCTCCTCCCCCTGACTCTGTCCTCCTCCCAGGCGGTCGGACAGCGGTAGTGCGCACTGAGCTGCAGGAGTGCGCAAGGCGGCCGGCATGCACCTGGAGAGAAACCGCCCCGCCAAGCCGACCAAAGGCTCAGCTGGAGACACAGCGGCATGCAGGGCGATGCTCTAACAGCAGGGAGAAAGCAGCAGAGCACCGGGCGGACACGGAGCTGCAGCATGGGCGTGGGAGAGAGGCGCAGCCTGAACGAGAGCGATGTGATTCTACTGGCATAAGGAGGGTGGGTGGGGGGAACCCGAGTCGTGCTGGATCAGAGTGTCCCGGGTGTATTAGGAGGGCTTGGTTTGGTGTCTTGTTCTCTGAAATTCAGCATATATAGTACTTTTTTCTGTCGTCTCCACGGGAGTTGAAAGGATGGAGAAAAGCGCGCAGCAGCAGCTCCCCAAAAGCGCAGAGGGTCCGGTGGAAGACATCTCCAAAATAAACGACGAGGAGCTGCTGAAGTGGGGCAAAGACGAGCTGGTGCGGCGCCTGCGGAGGGCAGAGGCGGAGAAGAGGGGCGCCATCGTGGAGCACGGAAATCTGATGCGGGAGGTGAACCGGAGGCTCCAGCAGCATCTGAACGAGATCCGGAGTTTGAAGGTGAGATGGGTGGGGGACCCCGGAAGCTAGATTGGACAAGGTTCCCAGGTGTTTTACGGTGTGTCCAGGTTAGACTGACTTTCTGATTCAGACCTGTGCAGGATCTGAGAGAGAGGGAAGCTGTACTAGAGATAGCCTATCACCAGAGAGGACAGAGGGGATACCAAAATAAAGGTCACAACTCATTAAACCTGTTGCACAGGACAGAATAGAGAACAATGGACATCACAGAACGAGTTTTAAAACACTCACTGGACAAAAAGTGACTTGGATGAAGAGCCTTTCTCCCAGATACATAGGAAAATGTAAAATCATCAGTTTTTTTCTTCCATGAATAGGGGACATTGAGGACGTTTCTGCATCTTCACAATTTTTTAAATCAAATCAAGTCTCTGTGATGAGCATTCATGCCATTTGATAAGAACAAAATGGAAAATTTTTTGAACAATAATGTGTGGAATAAGAAATTTAGAGGACATTGTCAAAAAAAACAGCAGTTAAAAATAGCTGTTATACTATTAAAAGCATGTTTAAAAACAGGCTTCAAAGAGTGTGTGATAAAAGCTGCAACTTAATCTTGTTTTAAGTGTCCCCCTTTTACAAATGATCACTGGTGAAGCCATATGGTTGGCCTGAATGGATAAATTGACTGTGCTAAAAAAATCACAGTCATCCAAACAGTCTGGTATTGAATAACAAGTCAGTAAACAGGGTTGTGATTAGGGATGCACTGATCCGATGTTTGATATTGGTACCGATCCCGATACTGAAGAAAATTCTAGATTGCTTATCATGACAATGGGCCTGATGCAAAGGGGACGATCTATTCAGTCTAACTATATGCTACGCGCCGTGAGTGGCATCCACAAGTAAACACGCTGAGCGGATGCCCACATTGTTTTCAAAATAGAGTGAGCAAAGTTGTCTGCTATCTTGAACCTGCGCAGTAAACGTTCTGAGGGGCAGTGGTAAAACTTGAGGTTATGACAAAAGGTAATTCAGCGCGGCTTTTCTGTATCAGAATTGGATCATATCGGCCGATACTAAACTGTAGATATCTGTATCAGTATCAGAGGTGAAAAAGCGAATTTGGTGCATCCCTAGTTGTGATAGTATATGTAAATATAATTTTAAATTTACATCTGATATTACTAATGAGAGGACACAGCTGTGTAATAACTGACAGACAAGGTTGAGATGGACATCTTTAGTTACACAACAATACACTAAGGGGGGGTGGGGGGTCAGCTAGCAGAGTGTGGAACAAAGGGGATTTTAATGAGACTTAATGTATCGATACTAGCGGCTGAAAATTCGATACTTTCTGGAAAAAAAAAATATTGATTTATATTGCAGAATTGATCAAATTGCTCAGCCCTAGTAGAAATGACAATATTTAGCACTGTCTAGTGGTCAAAACCTAGTTCAAATGCTTCCTTGTTCACTCCTCCTGTCAGTGAAGGGACATGGCCTTCTAGGATAAGAAGCTGTAGAGATGCATGAGAAGTGTAATCCTTCATTTGCTGAGTTTTCACCATCAAAAATGTTTATCAGTATAGGTTACCCCAAACACAGCAGCCACTCTCCTTATTCTTCCAACCAGTGGATTTTATTGAACCAATCACTCCATTCAAAAAAGTGGATGTTTCTGGTCGGGCTGCTCGATAATAACAAAAAAGATATTTTTTTTTGATTGGTATTAAATTTCTGATTATAAAAATGATTACCCATGATTTGACATCTTCATCACACTCATTTAAGGAACTTAAAACATTTTTAAAACCTGCCTCCCCCAGCCCCTCCTCCTGCTCTCCTCCAGAGGTAGTTTGTACCTCTATTTCACAGTCCATCATCAATCTTAGCAGAAGCCACAACTTCCTTGTGCTCCCAAAACTTTGTTTTACATTGATCCAAGTTGCTGAGGAAAGTGAGGGATGTTAGCAAGGAGGAACTGCGTTGAAGGGAGAGAGGGCAGGTGCACTTCATTCAGTTGGATGTAGTCGGTATGTTTAGTCTAGATTATCATGTCTTTATGATCTCGGGGGCTGTAATTGTTATTTAAGTCAATATACGATTTATCGTCTGGCTCTACCATTGACTACAAAAAGTTTGTCCATTGTGTTTTTCTGTAGAACCATGGTGGCATCAATGGAGAAGGACTCATCGATATAAAATGCCAATTTTAAGTGAACAAAAACCAAACTGTTTTTATAATTAGCTGATGTGAATGTAAAACAGACTTATAAGGATGATATTCAATTTCTACCCTGTTTGTTCTGCTGAAAACTGCTAAGTATCACACTGTAAACTTTCATTTTCTTTCCCAGCTAACGGGTGAATCATTTCTGAATTGAAAAAGGCCCATCACAGTTATGAAGAGCCCCGTCTTGCACTTTAAAAAGCCTTTTTTTTGTGTTTGTTTTCTGCTTTCAGCCTAAAAAACAAGAGAGCTGGTGAAAAGCAACAAATACTCATAATTTAGAAAACAGTGTTTAGCATTTCTTGATGAAAAAGGGATTGAAAATTTGTCAGAGTTGCTGCTTTTTCTACTCTCATCCACTGAAGTGCATCATGGGAACATTCTTTACACTCTTTAATGCAGGAGTCTGCATATACATATGTAACCCCTCTGCATGTGTGCTTGTGTGTGTGTGACTGTGTAAACCAGGACGTGAACCAAAAACTGCAGGAGGACAACCAGGAGCTGCGTGACCTGTGCTGCTTCCTTGACGACGATCGGCAGAAGGGGAAGAAGGTGTCGCGGGAGTGGCAGCGTCTGGGCCGCTACAGTGCCGGCCTGATGAGGAAGGAGGTGGCTATCTACCTGCAGAAGCTGAAGGAGCTGGAGCAGCGGCAGGTGGAGGTCATCAGGGAGAACTTGGAGCTGAAGGAGGTGTGTCTGATGCTCGAAGAGGAGAGGGCCACGGTGGTGGCTGGAGGGGTTGGAGGTGGGCAGGGAGGACCTGGTCGTAGGTGCTCCATTGACAGTCAGAGCAGCTTGTCTCAACTGGGTGGAGGTGTCCCAGGACCTGGTCTGCTTCGGGACGTTGGTGATGGCAGCAGCACCTCAAGTGCAGGGAGTACAGATAGCCCTGATAACCCCCACCTCAAACCCCCTCCCGTGGGCTCTAATACTATGCCTGGATCTGTCTCAAGGTGCATGTCCTCAGAGCACCACCACAAACCCGGGGAGGTGTGTGACTCCACAGGCAGGCGACACAGCTCCACCCCAGAGTACCACACCTTCCCACAGTCTTGCCGTCCTCGTGGGGGATCCCTTACAAACCTGGATCCTCGTGGGCTTAGAGGACACAGCCCAGAGAAACACAGCAAGTCCCCCACAAGGCTGCCATGTGACTCCCACCACCAGCCCTGCAGCTCTGACCTACTAGCCCAGAAACAGCTCTCCATGTCAGGGCAGGCGTCACCAGGCTGCGGGAAAGGATCAGCCAAGTCCAGCCCAGAGCTGAGCCAGAGACACCGGCAGATTCACACAATGGGGGCTGGCTGTGGGAGTCCCGAGGCCAAGCAGGCAGCCATGGTGACGCCTGAACACCTGAGGAAAGGACGGGTGATAGTGGGTAGTCCTGAGTCTATAAGACACCACTATCACTACCAGCACAGCCCAGGGGGGGAGCACGGAAAGGGGAGGTATAGCAGCAGCTCCCCCAGCAGGGATGGTGGTCAAAGGAGGGCAGCAGCAGGAGACGAGATGGCCCCCCACCACCAGAGTCTGTACAACGGTAGGCACAGGGTAACTCTTTTCTTCTTCTTCAATCCATAACCATTCATGCCACATTGAAGAAAAACACTGAAACACAGGTTTAAAGATATTATTGGAGGATTCCACTCTGTTTTTATGAGAGTTTTATATTTGTAGGTACAGAATGTAAGTAAAAGAAGGAAAATAAGAGATGCAAGGGCAGCCACTGAGCAGGAGGAGAGAGGAGTGCTTGGAGTCTCTAAAATGTCCTCAATTACAAAAAACATGGCCTAACTTGTGCGCCGGTTCTTTCTGTAAATACTTACATGTAACTCATATAAGAATAATAATAATAAGAAGAACTTTATTAATCTCGAAGGGACATTCGGTTGTCTGTCATCTCATTTGTCATGTCTCTAAAAGTCATTTACTATTTACAGAGGGTTGTAAAGTCTGATGGCTGTGGGTACAAAAGATTTTCTGAATCTCTCTGTCATGCAGTGAAGAGAGAGGAACTGTCCACCACCATTGGCTCTTGGGTCCATTAAGGTGTTGTGAAGTAGGTGATCCATGTTCTTTAGAATAGTCTCCACCTTCCTCAGTGTAGATCTCTACACCACATCCTCCACTGAGTTTGTTCAGACGTCTTGCATCTTTGTGTTTGATGCTTCCTCCCCAGCAGACTGCAGCGTGGAACAAAACACTTCCCACCACAGACTGATAAAACATCTGCAGCATTTTACTACAGATGTTTTATCATTTATATATCATATCATATATACATATATCCTCACATACAAAATACTGAACTATCCTGTTAACGTATTAGAGGTATTTTAAGGCCAAGTTCATCAGCACATGGAGCTCAGCTTAGCTTCAAAGCCAGACTTTCAGTCGTACACATACTGGAACTCACAAACAAACACAAAACCTCAAGAGAGCTCACGAGGCTTCAGTCACTGTGGGAGTACATGTAAGACCGTGAGGGGGAAGTGTATTCAACTGTGTGTGTGAATGCAAGCAGGAAATGTGGGTGATGTAACTCTCCAAGGTGTATGGGTCACAATGGTGACCTAGAGGTGCAGTCACACACACACACGCACTCACACACACACACACACAGCCTTATGTTTTAGAGAGGATAACAGCAAAGTGAGGCAGTATTTAAAGGTGTATGAGTGATTTTAATTCATACTGTGTGGTCAACACCTGAAGTGTGTGTATTTCTGGCAATTAAGATTAGAGTGCTCTGTATTGTGAACATGCCCATGAATGTACACTGTCCCATCTAAATAAACACTAAACTAAACTAAACTAAAAAAATCTGCCAAAGACTGGGAAATGTTTTTCTCCTGACACCAAATAATAATTATCAGAGCAGCTACAAAAGAAAATATAATCCATATAATCAAGTCATTGTGGTGAACAAGCTCTCATCAGCAGTGTGTGTGGGTTCAGACAGCTCCACTGCCTTATATGGAGGTCCCCTGTTAGACAGGTAGATCTCACTCAAGGACCCAGGTCCCCTCTTGGCAATTAAAAAAAAAATGAAAGTCACATTTCAAGTAACATTATGTTAAAAAAAAAACTTTAAAAACTCTATTCTATTGTACTTTGTTGTATTAAAATGACCAGAAATAGAGGTACACTCTTGGTCAGTCTGGGGCTGGGCTGATAGTCCACTGTTGGTCAGGTAAGCTTGTGTGTGTGTGTGTGTGTGTGTGTGTGTGTGTGTGTGTGTGTGTGTGTGTGTGTGTGTGTGTGTGTGTGTGTGTGTGTTAGCTATTTAAAAGCTGTCATCGCAGTTCAATTAGCTCTCATGTGACAGTTGCTGAACTCCCCTGAAATGTTCACATTGATTTCCTCAGACCATAAACCGTCTGCTTTTGATGGTGGAGGACACACTTCATGCTCTGACATGACAGAGGAGATGTGAAATACTTCACTCTGCTTTCAGCTTGACTGAATTTTACTGCTATTAAATATTCTTAAGTGCTCCCTCGTGGTGTTTCTGGTTGTTTCTCTCTGTGTATGCGTTTCTGAGCATTAACTATAAGTGCGATGAGTGAATATGTTGTGTTCAGGGACTGCCTCAACTCCCTTTTCTCATCTTTTGAGCAGGAGAACGGGAATTAGTTGAATGCTAAGCTGGTTCATATGCCTTGTGTAAAGCTAGGAGTTCTGCGTTCATGCAGCATCTTTGTTTGGTTGTTCATACGTGATGCTTTATGCAGTATGCAGTACTTAAAGGGGCTGTTACACTGCAGAGCCCGAGAGCCCTCCTGAGGGGGAAAATCCAGTGTGCACATAGTAGTTTGAGTCTATCATAAATCAAAGAACTGCTGGCTTTACTGCAGCACAATGCATCCACACAATACAGAGATACTGTCTGACATTAAGTAGGTGGGAGAGTGTGAAGAGGAATGATGCCAAGAACTTGTCCGAAAGTTTGTCATTCAGAAGAGTTTTTGTGATTAATTTTCTGTGGATTTTAAGTTGTAGGGGGAGAAAGGAGGTTCATCCAAAAAAGCTCTTTTAAATATGCTAAATTTGTAGAATTTCTTTACCCAAATTGCTTTTGCACTCTACCCTGATGGTGTAAAGTCTTCCCTGTCAGACAAGGAAAGCAGTGAGATGGGGGATGAGTCCTGAGGTGCAGGATGTGACATCAAAAGCAGGCCAGGCAAACCTGCATTTACTGCGCTGGTTCCCAACCTGGTATCACAAGAGAGGCGCCATAGTTCTCGAAAGGAAACACAAGGCTTGGTCTGCTCTGTCAAAAGTTTGCACCTATTGACTAAAAATCATTGAAGCACATCTGCTGGATAGTTTGGATGATTCTGCCTTTGGACAAACTATGAAAAGTACACTTTTTCTCAATTCCCTTTAAGATGCTCTCATACATCCAGTTACATGGCACCCCTGGTTTGCGATGGTCACCTGATACTCATGGTTTTATCCCTGTTAACTCATCTGCAGTGGATCTTCCGATTTTGAGAAAATTTTTACCACTTTTTTTTTTTTCGTTTGCATTTTCAGATCAACCTAAAAAAGTTTTGAGTTAAGTAAGTACTTGAAATTACCTTAGGGGCTTTCTCACACTTCTTTGTGGTTAAGTGTAAGGGGCTAAGATGTCTTTTTCAAGGAAAGTAGCCTTATGGTGAGTGTATTATGGAAAATGCATCTCTTGCAGGTGCAGCTGAAATGACAAAGTGAAGATGAATTGAACAAGTTAATTGCATGCTTCCCATGGGCTCTTTATCAGTTGTGAACAGTCCTCTGCAGTGTGTTTGCCGCACTGAGGAGCATTGTGCAACATTAATTATGTCTAATGCCCATTCCTGGCCAATTAGTATGTGAACTAGCCAGTTGATTTCAAGCCGTACTAAAGCCAAATGGGTCATCCTTAATAAAGGAGAGGTCTACTTACTGCATTTAGAGGGAGCAAAGCTGTAAATGATATTTTATGCTCAGTATCACTGAAGGATAAAAGCTTGTGGAAACCCAAAATAGCTTTTTAGCAACATAATAGAGGATGTTGCATAATAGATGGTAAGCACAGAAAGCATCAACATAACTCTAAAAGCTAAATTAAAAGATACTGATTTAAGATTGTGAAGGGATATTGATTACTGAAATTTCATGATACATTATTGGAAAGTATACATTGGAGCTATTCACAAGGTTACTTCACGTTGTCCATCATTATGAATAACTGCTGGCTTTTAAAAGCTGCCGGTGTTGAGTGTTGATCAGTGTGCCTGTCATAAGCTGCAGGAGTTCAATGCGAGTGACAATGGTCTGTTCTTCTGAAGCCTGTGTTGCTGGAAACACTAAAGATACAAGTGAAGTCGGCCCTGCTAATGTTGCACAACCATTATCAAGCGTTGCATTCATTACTTTGATACAAAGGAGCTCTTCTCAGTCAATGCTGCAAGCAAATTTCCAAAGACTAATGTTTATTTCGAAAGCTTTCTTGAGTTCAAGCAAGAGGGGAGAGCTGTTGTTATATTGTTCATTAAAAAAACAAGGATTTTCAGTCTAGTTGCTGGTTGTTCAGATAAAATCTCCTGCTCTTTGTACTCACAGAAACATTGGTCTTGTCAAGTGTTAAGTGTTGTTAATGATAGTCTTCTTTGCCATTGCAACTTAAACCACAAGAAACACTTTTGTAAGCACATAATTGAAATGTTACTGAATGATAATTGAATGGTTTACTTTCGGTTAATGGTTAGCCTACATCAATTCATTCAGGGCAGCCAGCAGGAGCGTTTGGCTGCAGCCACAATGTCTTTATATGTTCTGCTGCATCAGAGACTGTGTCTCTATCTGAAGCTGAAGCATGACTGTGTTGTTGCTGTCCTGTAGACATCCAGCAGCAGTAAGGATTTCTATAGTGCTGAGTTGAAGAGCTCTATATTACAGCTGAGGCCATAGGAAATAGTTTTGTACCTTGCAGGATCCCTGACTCAGCTGTTAGCAGGAAACAATACTGGGTGTACTAAGTGTAAGCTAAAATGATGCATACATATACATCTTAATAGCATACGCAACATACTCCATGCTTTTAGAGAAAGTTGTAGTTTAGTAAATCCTCAGCTTTCTGCATTTTTTCTGTTTTACCGCACACAGAGGGATCTGTAAAGAGCAGTGTGTGCAGGTCAGTTGAAAGCTCATTCATAGACGAGCAGATGACTCAGATTGCTGCTGACGCAGGGAGCAGTTTGGAGTTTGGTGGTTGCATTTCAATGTTGGACGTCATAGAGCTGAAAATTTGGCTGCAGAGGACAAAATTAACATTTTCAAGACTGTGGGTTGTAAAAAAATGAGGCTTAATTTACCCTAATTAGATGTGTCACTCTCCATAAATCAGCATTACAAGTTAGATGACTCTTTTTATTATGATAATGGGGGAAACTTTCCAAAAAACTCTTTCAGCCTTATGTAAAATGAAAATAATCACAATTGCCAGGTTTCCTAATAGATGTATCAGCCCACCTCATATTGCTTTTTGTTAAAAACCAAGATGGCTCCTTTTGCCGGGGTGTTCATGTGCAGATGCATCTGCTGTTTCCTGAATGTGTTATAGTGGGTGATGGAGAAACAAAGGCGTTCCTACTGTCCTGCAGACCCATCTGTCTTTCATGACAGCAGTTTATTAAAGGAAGTATGAAGAGTTTCCATGTTTCCATAACTAGTGTTGGGCGGTATGAACAAAATCTTATATTACAGTATGAGTGATTTTATATCATGGCCTCAAAAATAACCACACTGTTGCATTTGTTCATTTTCCTTTTGTTTTTAAACCCTGAATTGTATACAAATGTAAACGAAATGTCAGATCAGTCTGGTGATTTTTTTTTTTGTCATATGACGTACCTTTGGTGAAAGACTCTGCCAAGCTCTTTTGTATGAGAGGAGCTGCTGCTGCTATTGTTTTTGGTTTTCTCCGGCCCTTTTTCGGAACGAGTTCCTCCATCTCTTCCTCGTGTTGCGTTGGTCAGGCTGCCTCAGTTTGCTCAGTACTGCCACTAATCTCTGCGTCCGCCATGACCACCACCAGTGACGCTGTTTCTTCTTCGTCATAACTATGCCAAGCAGTCTGTTGGACATGCTGATGATTATAGGGAGCGCACCCAAACCTGACCAATCAAATGGAATGAACAAACTCCACACGACACGCTGGTGAATATACGGAAACGCACCCAAACAGATGCGCCTTGGCTTTCTTGTTAGCGAGTGCAGACAACTACACACTTACTAAGAGAGATTCAGCAGACATCTGTACTCTCCTTGGTATAAATGGTATCGCAAAATTTCTACTGGTAGACACTTTTATACCGTCACACAGTACATACCGTCATACCGCCCAACACTACTTTGAACCAAATCAGTGGGTTTTTTTTTCCCGAAGAAACCCCCACCAGAACCACTGTGGTAAAGATGTGTTTTCTCTCAATCTACCATGCAGCTCATGAAAAATTATTATTATAAGAGTTACACTATTTCAAACCCAGTTGAAGACCTATCACTGCTCCTTTAAAGTATAAAAAAGGCATTAAAACATCCATTGAACGATCTACTTATGCATGCTGGATCAGTTCCTTTGCTCTGTGCGCTCGTCTTCGCAGCCTGCAGTTCTCCATCGCTCTGCTCAGGTCCCAGCCTCCTCCTCTCCTCTCTTGGCCTCATCTATCTCCTCTAACTTTCATTCATTCTACTTTCATTTCCTTCCTGCTTACGTCTCCTGCCTCCGGACTGGAGCAGCAGCAGCATGTAATACCGTTCCTCCACAGCCCTGCTGCCCTCCTGTTGCTGCCCCGCACAGAGCCGGTGTAAATCTTCATTAAGCAGCTTCCATCAAAGGCCGGCGCTTTTACAAATTGAGGTCATTAACTTCCGTGGTCATCCTGCACCGCGGCTTTTGTGCACTAAATAATTGATTTTCTCCTTTTATAGCTCGGGTAATATCAATATGTGCTGCTTCAAAAACTAATGTGACCCTTAGGCTGACCACCTGGTTTGACTCGACCTTAGATGACGTTCATCCTTTCATAAGCTTCCTGATCTTTATCACACAGGTTTTTAGATGGTAGATGATAGAAAAAATAACCCAGCAGAGAGATGTTTCAGTGCTTTTGATAGTGGGTGTTCCTGAAGAGAAGATTTAAGGCTTACTTGTTCTCTGAAACTCAAAGCAAAGTATGCCAACAATCCTTATCCCAGTTGGTCACCTACTGAGATATTTCATGTCTCCCATTTAGCGGGTAACACAAATAAAACAGGCTGTTTCTTTTTAGGGTCTCTTTAAAGGTCAGCTTCTATTTTTTCTAACTGTTTCACAGTTCACAGGACTGCAACCACAGCGTGGTCCCACATTGTTTGACCCATCAGTCTCCCATTAACAAGAACAGACTTTCAGGGTTGGGTCACACAATTAATTTTGAGGCTCAAGGATTTCAATCTGAGACTAAGGGACTCGTTGGTTGCTAAATCCTAGCTTGTGAGTCCTTGTGCTCCAACTTTTTTGACCACACAGACTGGACAGTAGCTGTCAGTGTAAATGGAGGGCTTAGGGGGTCAGCATACACCTTGTAGCAATCCTCAACAAATACCATGCTAAGATATTTAAGGCACAGCAAAAGCATGACTCAACTTAGATGACAGGAGAAAACCCAGAAAATTAAAACTTAACTCACTCTCAGTGTGAGATTTTCACCTTTTTTCCACTGGAGCTGAGGTAATCCTCATGCGTACATTATGTGTGAATGTCAGGTGGAGTGATGAAAGTGTGTTCATGACACAGTCGTCATATTTCCAGCTGAATTTAGTTTTTTCTTCTTAGACTGATATCCTCACTGTTACCACTACAAACTTTATAGAGAGGAAATGCTGGGAGTAGAGAGTAGGAGGAGACATGCAGCAAAGGGCTGTGACCGGGAATCAAACCAGCAACCCCTGTGGTGAAGTCTGCAATCTCTGTAAATGGGCTAGGCTACTGACGCCCCTTATTTTCACATTTCAAAATTTTATTTACGAATTCAAGTGAAAGGAAATTGAACAGATTTAACTTGATACCTTGTGATAGGTAATAAAAGGTTGACTTCGTTTTTACAGCCCAGTTTGAAACAACCTGAGGCCCGTCGAGGTCCAAGGCATGGTAGTGGGGGTTTCCTGGAGTATGTGAGTTCTTTGTTACTTTGACTGCTGCTGTTGGAAGAAAAAGCACTCTTTTCTTTTTAGAGTTTTTTTTTTAGATGGTTAATACTATTAAATCGAAAGCAATCCTTATACTACATATGTCAAAAAAGGGGTTCATAATCACAGACAGCAGAGTGAAAGGAGAACCCCCTCCAAAGCCTTTCCTGTGTCTGCTCTATATAACACATTTTTTTCCCTCGATTGAACCAATTTTAGAGAAAATCAGTGCATTTTCTTTATGTTTATTTGGGCCACTAAAGCTACAGTGGGCAAGTTTATCTTAATTGAAATTTGGTCAAAGTTGATCATTGTAGTTCACTTTCACTATTAACTTCACTAATCATTTTTTTACATAAGTGAATCAGTCTGATTCTTTCCTGGTAGTGCCTGCCCCCTTTGGTCCAGTCTGAATCAATCAGGACTTGCTTGCATCGCAGGTGACAGTGACTCTGCACAAACCAGTATCATCAAGCATGACCTGTGTTGGCGTCATTCTCTCTCTCTAGTCTGCTCCCTGTCCTCTCAGTGGCCAAACAAGTTGCGACTTGGTGCTTTTTTATTTATGTACATTAATCAACGATCAGATTTTCTGTCCTCTGATTCTGAAGAGACTACAGTGCCTAACTTAACAAATAGTTTGCGTGGCGTATGTGTGCATGCATGTATGTACTGATTGGTGGGAGGAGCTAAGCAGAGAAAGGTCATAGATGGAGAGGTGGAAGGTGTTTCTGTTCTAGCCGCCACTTTAATTGTTGATTACCATGGCAACATGAGAAGACGAACATGAGAAGACATTCAGGACAGCTTTACTAAGGTACTGAGTATTCTCCAAAGGCCTCTGCGCTGTGATATGACTTCCTCCACACAGCAGTCTGCTGTTTCTGGTCAACATTTTCAGATTCTGCTGTGCCTGCTGTGTTTTTGTGCCTATTGGGAGCCATAAGATCAGAGCAGAGTCAGAAATACTGTCATCAGCAAGTGTAGGGCGCAGATCTCCAGAGCTGTACTGAACTGTGGCGAGCTGTTTGGTGAGTATGGAGGCAGAAAAGAGGATAGGTAATTGGGTTAAAAGTGGGGTTGGTAATCACGGCAAACTAGCTTGAATTTGAATATAGCATCTCCTTAGGACTTCCTCTAGTCCCTCCCTCCTCCCCTTGGAGCTCCTCCAAAACAACGCCCCGGCTCACACCCATGAGCGCTGCTGTCTGCTCATTCAAAACCACAGACTCAAAACTTTGGGACTTTAGATTGGGAAGTCTTTGCACAGCAGGGACAAAGAAGGTAACGTTAGCATCGGGATGACCACATGACTAGCAACATGGCTAAATACTTGATCGAGATTAAAAATCGCCTTGAAACAAACCCTCAACATACCTTTCCAACAGAAAATGAGTGACCATGGCATCCCTTGACCTCTTTCAGTCTCCACTGCTTAAAAACTGTCCCGATGTTGACTTTTGTTTTTGCCCTTGCTTTCTCCAAACTGTGTTTTGCGTCGGCCTTCTCTGCCTCCGTCTTTCTTTTCTTGCTCTTTTTTGCAGGAGGAGCGGTCACCATTAATCTTTGTATAGGTAGTTTCTCTGCCATTCTCTCGCGTAGGTGTAACCCTCTCAGCTCGGCTATGCCCATTGAATCAGGGCCAGTGCACATCTGCAACATGTAGGCGCAGGAGGCGAGCATGGGATTTGATTGGTTTAAAAATGTGGGACCCACACGATGTGATTGGTTGGTGTTTTCCCAATTTTACTCCTGCTGTAGATAGCGGCTATGTTTTGCACTTTTTTTTAGAACACATCATGTATTGATTGCCATCAGAACATAAAGATCATTTTAACCAGATTACCAACCCTACCTTTGACTCAGTTTTGTTTAACCAGATATTTAGAAAGTCAGCATATCTAACCAGAAGAAAAGTCTCATTAAGATGTAGGAAAATAAATGATTTTATTGGGTTATTGTGACTGTTCACTGAACGTAGGACAAAAAAAAAATGAGCCCACAGAAACACAATACGATTTGAACAGTATGCTGAAGATTTTTTTCTCTTCAAGTGGAAAGTTTTATGAATTTTTCATAAAAAAGTTTTTGGTTGTATGGGCACAAAATAAGCTTGAAAACACCACTTTTCATTTTGTGACAGCTCTTCCAGGACAAGAATCAGCTTCAGTTTCATTAATTTTGCTCCATCACACATTGATTTGAGAAACAGCATCTCTTTGTGGCGACGCCGTTCTCCTGAGCCCAGCTGGGATTGTTGCCAACCCTGAGTGGATATGTGCTGAATCAGATTGGAAGAATTAGCGTGCAAAACTCATTAGGCTCCTTACACAGCCAGAACCCGAAGCAGGCTCCAGCATAAATGACTGTTGATTCGTCTTTGTTCGTCACAGAGGACAAGAAACACAAGATTCTCCTCACTTCATTTGGAGCCCAACATCTCTCTTGATTGAAGCATGCAGGCCAGAGCTCATGACACACACACCCATGTGGGATGCTCTCTAAAACACACTGAGATTATTTCACATTTCACAAGAACACAAGCTTATTTAAAAACCAACACACACGTATGACACACAGACAATCTAATAGACAGTGACAGTACCGTACACTCTCACATAAGCACACGGTGGCACGCAGAGCCATTAGAGTATTTACACACTATCCTGACACACTCACGTATCCCTCAGGGAGAAGGGAGGGTGGGTACCATACCACAGCCAGGGTGCTCATTAGATGGGTGAAGATGTAATAGGTTGTGACTCCCTCTGACTGCTCCTCCCATGCCACGAGAGTGAGGGGGTGACTCAAGAGTGTCTGCAGCTCTTTGCAGTATCATCACCTCTCAGTCGCTGCTGAGAGACTGGAGAAAGAGAGCAGCTCCATGAAGAAAAGTGAACATGCAATTTCAGCAAACTCAAATACGAGCTGATGTGATTGGTTTGTGTATGAAATTTAGAGCAAAATTGATGTACTTTTTTGGGCTTTAAATTACCGACATTCATGCACTTAGAAAGCAGCTTAAAAGGACGAGTTACCTCACATCCTTTGCTTTAGGTTGCAGTCTGAAAACTGCAGTGTGTTGTTAGTCTGTCACACTGGGGCATGCAGCCCTTGTTGTTGAAGTCAGACAGGGATGTTGCAGTACTACCATTTTTGTGGTACCACAGGAATGAAATTGTCTTAATAGTGTTGTGGATGATGGTATGAAAAGATGAGTCCTCTGGGCTTAAAGTGTAGCTTTGTTTGTGAGACATACAGTGGGGGACCTCTGGTTCTGTCATTGCAACAAGCTCAGGAGTGGGCTGATCATTGGCCTTGGCCAGTCACTAGGGCTGATATTTGGCATTTAGCCTATAATCCATATCCATATTTTACTTTACAGATTGTCAATAAAAGTTGGTGATGTAAAAGTGTGCTACTTTGGCTCCACTCTGGTTGTTTACTCTCTTCGGTGTCTGTTGTCTCACACAAGTTTGTGTCCACATAACTGTACTGTGAGTGTGGCTAGTTAACTAAAAATGATGTAAATGACGTTTGTATCTTTCCGTTTTAATAAAATGCCAGTTTAGGGTATTAAGGCAAATTTTTGTAGTTTGTAATATTCATCATTCTTACTTTGGACAGAAATCTTCAGTTCCAAAAACTGATTATCAGTCTCTTGAGCCACTAAGTGGAATCAGAACAGGTCCTAAAAAAACAGTATCAGTCAACTCCGTCTGTTGTTGACTCAGCACTGATACTGCCAGACTGCAGTGACCTATGTATCAGGGTGTATGAACTTTGTGAGAAGCCACCTGGCGAAGCGTCATCCTGAATAATTTTGACTTCCCATTTCTAATGCCACCCCTTCAGTACCACTGGCTGGTATCACAGAGACTATTTGAAACAGTCTAGATATACAAAGTAATAAACGGTTTAGCAGTTTTGTTCCTCAGCCATACTTTCACACTGTTCACTGACACTTTTACACCTTTATGATGAAGTCAGATGAAGCCCATACTCTCTGTCAAATACCCTTGAATTTATAGTGGTTGGAAAATGCTTTTAGATTTATTTTGTACTATACAAGATGCAAACGGAGGTTATGTGTAAAATAGGGCTGTCACAATATCAGATTTTCACCTCATGCTTATTATGGCCATAAACTGTTGAGATAATATTATGGCAGTCAGTTAAACAAAGAGTGGAGCAACATATTACTCGATTAACTTGACTTACTGACATGTGATTGTAATAATGATCAAATTAATGATTTATCCTTGTGATCGACTGACACATCTTTGTTAAAGACGTTGCCTCATGCATGATTGTTTGTCATGCTTTTATTTTGAAACTTTTTCTTGCACCGTAGTTGCTTTATTTTCTTCATGGTTGAACTATACTTTTATTTTGAATTACTTCTGATAGATTGTGAAGTTATGGATCTGAATGGAAACTATTACAAGACTGATCAAAAGCATAAATGTAAAATTGATGAGGCACTGGCTTTAACACTGTTTTTGGATTCATCAAAAATCTTGCAGTGTTGGTTTTTAAAGTGCCTGATCATCTCTCAAAGGGCTGCTGCTTATTTTTTTTTCTGTCCTTTAAGTAAAAACATGTGAACCGCCACTGTAGAGTTACTGTATACCTGTTTTTTCTTCATCTGTATGATCTAGACCCTCAGAGCACCATCCTAACTGTGTGTTCAGAGCCAAAATGGTTTCAGCGAAGGCAAAGGAGATCTGTATTCTGTTGGTCCCGCTCTTTAACCCCTTAGTCAGCCTGTCTGTCAGCTAGCTGTGATGTGTTAATGGACAGAATCATTCTGCAGTCATGGTCTCCAATTAGAGCTGAAGGTTTGACACACATCGTGCCCTCGCGCCAGGTCAGGTTTGGTGGTTTGTGTTTTAAAGCTGCCTCTCTCACTCATGCACACACACACACACACACACACACACACACACACACACACACACACACACACACACACACTCTCATTCACACACAGAGAGCTAAAGGGCTCCATGTAACAAGCTTGCACTGTTCAGATAAGCCCATTTAGCTCACGCTGGTATAATTGAATTTGTCTGCTCCAGACTGAAATGAGTGTGATTTGCGAGGTGTGTGTGTGTTTGTGTGGATGTGTGTCTGTGTTGGTGCAAAACATGAACCTTGGCTGCTTTGGTGTCAAACTGGGATGTAATTTGTGCCCTCCAGAGATCCTGACTGTAGGAAGGAGGGCCGCAGTGAGCCTCTGTGATCCTCCATCCTCATACTGACATTTTCCATCCTCGTCTCTGTCATCCCTCCTCCTCCTGTCATTTCATTCTGTCAGATCCATCAACTCCTTTTTCCCTCTTAGCCCTCCTTATAAAGCGGCTGTATGTCATCTCTTTGGTTAGTTTCTTTCCAAGGAAGTGTTTTTGTGAGCTGTTGTAAATTGTGTAAATGAAGTAAAAGAACTGTATAATAGTATCAGATTTGGTTCATTCTTGTAATATGAGTGTATGGGGTTCCATATTCCTCCCATGTGTACTGAATAAAACATAATCACCATGGGTATGTAAAACATAGTCTAAGATGATGTCTTAATTGTTATTTAATGATAAGCAAAGTAACAATAATAAGATAGTCTCTCATTTTGAAAAGAAAATAAACCAAACAATCCTTTAGAGTCCAGCATTCACATAAAAGGATGATACCTGTTTGCATGGATATCTTCAGTGTTAGTCGCATTTAAGGGTTAAATTTGGATGAGTTATGTCTCCTTCACTCTCTGCCAACAATGTTCAAGCAGCCAAAACTTTGAGGGCTCTATTTTGGTGCTTCGCCGGAGACGTGCCGCAAGCGCAGAGTCAATCAGATCCGCCGCGCTGACAAGGCGCTCCCAAGAACATTTTGGTATTTTGGTGAGCCGCGCAGCCCGGCGTAAGTATCCCCCCTCCCTAACTCAGCTCCTCCCGGCAGCATAAATCATAGACGGGGAGGAGAGGGGGTTTAACACAGCCGAGACCTGTTTTCACCAATCACATTAGCTCCTCTCCTCGCCTTTAAATCCGCCACAGGCGAGGCGTATTACTATTTTCATGAAGTAGTCAAAGAGATCAAGAGATGTCTGAAGACAGTTATGCCACACGATGGCGACAGAGGGCAGCTGCTCAACAAGTGTCCTCCACACTCTCTCATCTGAGCACAGATGGATTTGGTGTGCGTAATGTTGGACCCACTGGTAAGACAAACACCCTTTTCCACAAATAAAGACACTCACATAAAGTTGCATATATTCAAACCTCACGTGACAAAGGTGGGTTGAGCGCACAGATCACAACATAAACTCCAAAAAGGCATTAAAATCGGAACCATCTGTGCGTAAATGACGCATCGCGCTCCGTGGCCTGGCTCTTTCTTTCATAGATGTTGGCATATAAAATAAATTTGGCTCACAAAACTGAATATTATAATATCCGTATGTCGGCTTAAAGTAGATAACGCATCTGAGCACTGAAACAAATCATCTGTTCAGCCGCAGCAGCAGCAGGAAGACGGACAGAGGACACGGAGACGTGTCCAGGTCGAGCTGTGCGAGAAATAAGAGGAAGAAAGAAAAGGAGGGAGACACATTACATATCTTGTTAACTTCATCATGTGCGTTTATTTACTAGATATTTAATTTAATTTGAAGCAGTTTCAGCTGTATTGATTCGGTCAGGTTGTGTGTCCAAACGCGTGCCAAACGCGCTCATCAGATCAGATATAGATCAGAATATATCGATATAGGTCTAAATGTATGTGCTGACTCAGATTAATAGTTGTTGATCATTATTTATTGCACTGAAATCTGCCTGACACTGTGGAAACCTGCCGGTGAGGCATCAGTGACGAATGCCGATACGCCGCCGGTCTACCAAAATACTACTGGACCAGCTGCGTTCCGCCTTGCGCTGAAAGCTGACCAGGTTTGAATCGGCGAGCTTTCAGCGCACGTTACACGCCAGTGGCGAGCACGAAAATGTCACTGCGCCAGCTGATTCTGTCAACACCTCCCCCTGCCACGCCACCACGCCCAGCTTGGCGGATCTCGGCTCGCCTCCGTGCGACTCAGTCCACGAAAATACCAAACTCGCCTTACAACTGCGCGGGGCTCGCCGCCCTCCGCCGCCTCACCGGCGCGAACGAAAATAGAGCCCTGAGACTCAAACTCACCGAAATCTTCAGATGGGCTTCATGGTCCTCCCACATCTCCGGTAGATTGAATGACTCAGATGCAGATCTGAATTTGGCACCGTACCTGTTAAGATATTGTGTTTGCAGCAAGCACCACTGAGCTTTACAACCAAAAATTCTCACATTTAATCTCTTGATTTACCTTGGCTGATGCTCTAATGGTGTACCAAATAAGAGTCAAGACAGCCATGGTTGTGATATTGGAAATGCAAAGTCCAACTCCCAGCAGACTAGAAACAGGAGAAGCGATGGGGTTTAGGCTAGAGCTGAAAACTCAGACTCTTGTTGCTGGATATTACAGAATATTTCCACACACTATATCTTTAAACTGCACATGTAAGATGCGAAGATCCTTTATGATCTATCTATCTATCATCTTAACTTAACTTAACTTAACTTAGCTTAACTTAACTTAGCTTAACTTAGCTTAACTTAACTTAACATAACTTAGCTTAACTTAACTTAGCTTAACTTAACTTAACTTAACTTAGCTTAGCTTAGCTTAACTTTGCTTAACTTAGCTTAACTTAACATAACTTTGCTTAACTTAACTTTGGGGGAGTAGTTCTATTAACATGTCTAACAAAAGCTGGCGCTGGGCTCTCTTTGGGTGTCCTTGGCATTTGAAGCCAGCTTAGACTGGACACTCCAGAAACATTGAGTTGTTTTGGACTGCTGCTCTGGCCTGACAGAATGTTGTATTTTGCACTGTCCCCTCTTTTTCTTGAAATCCTTTTCCCGATAGAGAATTGACCATGAAAACCTGAGCTAACCATCCTAAAAGTTGTCAGGAAAATCAACAGCGTTCACTCATCTGATGTTTTTAAAGAAATTTTGTTAGATTGGTCCGTCTCAGTGAGATAAAAAATGAACGTCATATTTCTACAGTCTGCTTGGACCCATATCTTCACAGCTTGCGGCTATCCCCGTTATTGTTTTTCTGCTCTTGTTTGGTTAGCTCACTTTCTTCATTATCCACATTCCCCGTCCCGCTCATCACTCCTCTCATGTCCATCCTTAGCTAACAAACCTCCCTCTGATCTGCTCTCTTATATTGCCGTCATTACCGTCTCCTGGAAACTGTAATAAGTTAAAACAAGCAGCGTCCTGTCTTTCTGTGGACTTCTTTTTCTCAGGGTTGTACCTGCAGAAGCCCAGTTCTGGGAAGCTTTGAGGTAATTCATTTTCTTATCTTTTCTGCCTCTGACTCTGATCTTCTGTCTGTTGACCAGGACTTCAAAGCAGCGTATCTGTGAGCAGGCAAAGTGAGGTCACCAAATGACAGTGATTTAGAGAGAAATATCTCTTATTTTATTGCATCCCTTCCTATCTAAAATTACAGCAAACGGCTGAGAGGATTTGTGGCTCTTACATCACACCCAGGTGGTGTCGTTTGACAGCCGATTTAGCAGATGAGAAAGGCCTCTTTTGTCATCATTCATCTGCTAATGGACCCAGACTTGAACAGGCTTAATCCTCCGTGATGGCCTCTGATTACCTCTGCTGCTGGGTGTAAAGTCCCGTCGAAATGAGCTTTCTCTGTCCACACACACTTTACATGGTTTCACTGATGTAGCGCCACATGAATTTGAGTGGCACAAGACCTTTAGTGAACCCTCACGTTGTGCACAGTTGCAACTTCACCGGCCTTAATTAATTCTTGGTTGTGTGTATGTGTGCATTTGTAGCGTGCAGAATTAGGGGTGTATAGGGTGCATGCATTTGGAGTGCCTGTGTTTGTTTACAAAGGTCAGGTGTGGTGTTTACTGCAACAGATGGCCTGCATGCATGACTTTTTTTCAGTGTGTGTGTGTGTGTGTGTGTGTGTGTGTGTGTGTGTCCTAGCTGAGACTGAAAACACAGCAGTTTTTGTCGGGCTGCTCTGAGCTCGTATTACTGTGAATAGGCAGAAAGTATCGTCATGGTGAACTGCAGAAACTCTCAGTCAATCACAGAGTTTCACTTGAGGGGGCATTTAGTATATTTCACTGATGCTGCTATTAATAAACATGAGCCACACTCTCTCCTGGATACCTGCAGCTTTTGTGCTGTCACTTAGATATGCCTGAGCACAAACACGTTTCGAGATTTGAGACTGTTTGAACTTCTTAAGAAGATCTTTCCTCACTTTGCTAATGTGTTTAAAATCTCAGAATGAGCAATCGTGACTTTGAAATTTCCTTTATACATTTGAACATATGAGCGGGGTGCAAACTGGGGAGGGAGGAATGTCCTTCACTCTGCTTTATTTATTTATTTATTTTAATCTCTCCCTCCAGTCATTCAGTTTTTTATCTCCAGTGGGGATATGTCTTATCTCCTGCTTGTCAGTCTGCATTAAATGCGTCTCATACACCCAACAGTAGATGGTGCAAGTTGGACTACACCTGACATTAACCACTGACTAAATTTATTTGACAAAGATCTAGTGATAGAACAGAGAAAGATTGTTTAGCGAGTCAAGAAGCGGAAAAGTGTCCAAAGGGTGCCTCAAGTCTCAGTGCTCCTTTCCTATTCTCTTTATACACCATCTCAGTGTAATTATCAGGTCGTTCATGGTTTCTCATATCACTGCTATGCAGATGATACTCAGCTCATCCTGTCATTCCTACCAAGTGACAACTGTCTCCTGCCAGATCTTGTTATGCCTCAGTGATATTTCTTAATGAATGAATGAAGAATGCAAACTCCAGCTCAATCTGTCCAAAATTAAGCTTCTTGTCATTCTAGCCAGTCCCTCTATACCACCACAGAATAAGGTCCAGTTTGGGTCGAACAAACTCATGACACCAACTAGGTATGCCCATAATCTGGGTGTCATGAATCGTGAGACCAGCTTTCCTTTAGGTTTCATGTGGCCGTATTGGTAACTGGTGATCAACTTGACTTCCTCTATGAACTATCAGCTAGTTTGCTGAAGTTTGCTGGCAGCTATTAAAGTATCAACATGGTACTGCAATAGAGTGTTTCTTTGAGTACTTTTAACAAAAAAATCAACCAAAATATTTAAGAATACGGGAAACGGCAACTATCATCCAGCATGCTGGGCTCTGATCGTGCAGCAGTCAGTTTACTCTGTAATATCATGAGGGTCTGCATTGAAGCGATGTGATTCGAGATTTCATTGGTCCCTAAATTGTTCTATAATGATATGATTCGATAATATTATTGACCTTTTTTGTCCTGATGAGACTATTGCACATGCACACAATGTAAATGTGATGGTAAATGATCTTTTATGCAGCCTTTATATAGAGTATGTGCAAGTACTATGTGCTGTAGATACATTACTGCAGATAAGTGTGTCAATAAAAACAGAAGTATTAATATATGTTTGGGCAAATTTGGCAAAATAGGTGTTATGAGAAGTCAACAAGACTCCCTCTGCAAGTTTTTACTGTCAGTTTAGATGGGTTAGAAGGAAAACTGCACTAAGGGGGTAAAGGAATGGCAGTTTTTTTCTCTTTTTTTCTTTCCAACATGGGTGTTTCCACTGACAACCGTCTGCTCCCCCCTGCTGATAGGTGTAAAAGTATGCAAACATGGCACCTGCACAGCAGTAGGTCCTGCTCAGACTGTTGTAAAGTAACAAAATCCTGCTTCTGATTAAGCCTCTGTGTCACCCAAAGTGTGTGAAGTACAACCCAAAACACAAGGTGCCCTCCACTGCTGAGCCACTTCTGCAGGGTTCACAAAACACACACTAGTGTTGCAGTAAGTGAGCTTCAGGGGTGTTCAGAGGTGGAGTTTTAAGATAGCCACCTAAACATGAAGCTAAGCTGAGTTAGCTCACAGTTTTAGCCAGCCTAAAACCTGCAGACACCAGATAGGTATCAACAATCACTAAACATTTTATTTAAAGATGAGTCACACTGTCAACCTTTTATTTTAGTCTTTAAACATGGAAAACATGCTGTGATGTTAAGTAACACAGAGCAGGTTAATAGTCCAGGTGATGCTAAAAATGGATGAAATCTGACCAGACTTTAAAGCCTAAACCCTCCTCTCAATCAAATCATCCTTCTTTCACACACTGTCATCCCCCAGGTTAGCAACATCTATTCAAAAGACCTTTTCAACTGAAATAACACCTTAAATATCTGTTAATTCATAATATGTTATGACATTTTTAACAGAATATTCAAGACAGGCATTATTGATGAACTGCAGAAAATGGAAATGAGAATATCTTGTGGCACTTTGAGCAAATTCACTGAACCCCAGAGTGCTGCATTGTCCCCTTTGGGACCCATTGCTCTACATAATCTACAGACCTCTCTGTGTACAGCTGGAAGCATATTGAGTTGACTTTTTTTTTTTTGGTGAATAAATATGCATTAAAAACTTCCTTCTGTAGAAACATGCCAAGTGATTATAGTGAAGTATTTCAAATACAGTTAGGTTTCTTCTCGTAGTATCTTATTGGGGTCAGATAAATAAAAGAAAAATATATTAGAAATAAAGTTTTTCAGTCTAAAAGTCATTTGTAATATACTGTATGTATCATTTTGCTTGAAGTTAGGTGCTAAGTAGTTGCATTCAGGGCTGATAATATGTAACAATATCCAAAAACTCAACATGCCACAGAGTTCACTAAAGGGTTGAAGCAAAACCTGGAGGAAGAAAAAACAGCTCAAACGTAGAGAAAATGGTTAATTTCAACACTTAGGAGCATCAGCGCATCTCTGTAGTGGATGGTTTAACCTGCTGTCTTGACACTACGCTTGACTATGCATATGAAACAAGATTAAGATATTAGTTTAGTTTTGTCCCTTTAAGTTATTCTTGTGAACAAACTAAAATGTTTATTGTGTCGGGACTCACTGTAAAAATATCACAAATCTGATCAGGACTATTTATAAACTTACTCTTGTATTGGTCTGTGTGTCTGAGCTGTACTCTGTGCTGTGTCTCGGCCACTGGACATGACAATTTCCTTACAGAAATGAATAAAGTACCCATCTATCTAAGATATCTCTGATGAATGTGTGTACAAACTATCCTCTATGTAATCCATACTATATAGTATAAAGAAGGATTTAAAAAATGAAGACATGATAACCAATGTTTAGGACAAAGTGTGCCAAATGTTGAATTTCTTCAGCAGTTTTGTTATAAATGAAGCTTCAGTTTGAGTGGCAGTTCGACTCACAGCATCACTCATTAGAAATGTCACCTTAGGGAGAGCAAGACTCGCCAATCAGTTCATCAACATCTGACACAAACCATCAATTTATTCAAAGCTGCTGTGTTGTCAGTGTGTCACATTCTCAACTGCTGCTAAAACTGATGAGGAAACATCTCCACATTAAACATGTCAGATTTGAATAAATGAATATTTACAGGATGTAAAGGTTGTTTTTAATAAGTTTTTCAAAGATATCTTAACTTACATGTAAACACACAAAAATGAATGAAAAATAATTAACCCTTTAAATTTCAACCAGCTGTCAATCATCACTGTGGATATTGGACACATGCTGTGTCCTCTAATTTTCAAAACCCTGGTTTTTAAAAGGAAACACAGAGACCTAAAGATCCTGGTGTTAATAATACACACTTTATTAACTTAAGTGACTTTCATCAGAGTGACTTTAATTTAGTTTTGTAATTACTCATTAAATATTGCTATTCTACCCTAAAAGGGTTTAAGAGGCACTGGCATTAGCATTAGACATAAACAATAATATTACTGTAGGACATGTTCATTTGCAAACCAAATTTGCTGCATAATTATTTAAAAGGATTAATAAAGAAAGACAGCACCATCAAATATTTAAATGCAAATGAAAAATTATAAAGCTTGTATCCAAAACACAGCAAACACAGAGTCCCAAACAGGAGGAGTTTTTTGATCGATGTATAAGGTTCAGTCAGAGTGCAGAACATTGCAAGTACACCAAAGTAGCTGTTTTCTAGCTCTGTGATGCAAAATTAAAAGAAAGATTTCAGGGATGAAAATAAGAAATGATCGAGGGGGAGATGGGAGTATCAAGTCCTCTGTCTGGAGAAGCCTGTTGCAGGTCTAGACCAGCCCAAACCATCTTTCGAAAGAGGGAGTCTGCTTTTGTGGAAGTTCCTCCCGTCCACTGTAACTTTCTAAATGTTGCTAAGTGTTACACTCGTGGTTGAAGATGGGATGGGATTTAGTCTGATTTTACAAGATGTGGCTCAATCTTATCCCATCTTTACTTTATATTCATACTTTGAGTAGAAATACACTCAATTGGTGCCCCAGCCTGACACAGTAAAAGGTGAAATGAATATAATGGGTCTCCTTCTAGGGTTCAGAAGGTGAGAGGAGGGATTATCAATTCTCTCCTGGCTTTCTGAGACAGCCAGAAAGGAGTAGAGGTCTTTTGAGTTCACATGCGGCATCAATTTAGACCAACTGGAGAGTATTCAGAGACTTGTAGAGGCAGGCTGGTAATTGGGAAATGCAGCGAATCAGAATCAGCTTTTTTGGCCAGGTTTGTGAACACATACCAGGAATTTAAATGAGGTTTTATATTACTCACAAACAGGCACAGAAATAGACAGGGGACATAAGACGGAAAGGGAATATGAACGTATGGAGTTAGTCCATCTTATTGAGACAGAGTGAGCTTGATTTGACTAATTTATATGCTAACCAAAATCTGAGAGGCCCAGATGGTTTGTTTGGGGAAAGTCAGAGAGAGTTTTAGAGTGATTCAGAGATTTCTAGACCTGACTTTAAAAGATGAAAATTAAATACCTCTTCTGCCACCATTTTATTAGACGAAACAAATACCATAAATAACAACAGAGATACCATATGCTGTATATACCGAAGATATCTGAATCAGTGAGCGCCATCTTTTCTCCTCATTAGTGTCTATCCCTGCCACGACTTTGACATGCTGTTTTTTTCCTCACCACAGACTTTCACATCTGCCTTTGCTTGTTAGACAAGCTGTCTGTCGTGCTTTATGCATACCTTTTGATTTGTTAAGAGTACATGTCATTTAAATGGTCCTTAGATTATCTGAAATACAGCTATCATTCCTTGCAGTCCGGAGAGGAGTTCTGACAATAAATACGAATAATAGCCAGGATTCTGGTGTTGACCTTTCTCGCATAATTAGTTCCTGTCTCCACAGGGTTGGTTTTTATCTCTATGTTCAAGAACCGTGTACAAGGCGGAGAGGCAGGGCCACCAAGAACCATGAGCAAAATCCCTCAATAATCTAATGATCCTAATTTCCCAGCAAAACGAGATTCCTTTAAGAGTCTCTGAGGCACCATGTCCCCCACCTATTAAACTAATAGCTTTAGATCATATAATTATCAGAGAAAATGACTTAGTTCTCGAGAAAATAATGACAGAGTAAAGAGAGTGCTTTCAATTGTAAACATGTCTGGACTTTGAGGTTTAAAATGTCATAATGGATTAACAGAGCCTAGCATAATTAAATGGCTTTGGTAATTTGATGAAGAATATTATTTCATAAGAGTCTGAGACTTTTGGATGGTTCTCGGGAAATTTTATTGGCAATAGTAGATCAAAAGATTCTCAGTTTGGCTCAATCAGAAAGAAATTTCTGATCAAGAGGGGTGGTTTATGCTGATTGTTATTCCAAAACGCGTCCATGCAAACAGTATCCCGATCGTGACTCTCTTACCTGACTCGATCTTCTCTCTTTAACCTTTGGCTTATTTACTGAGGCCAGTACAGGAGGTTTCATTATTAACACTCTGGCATAAAACACAACTGCAGATGGCGTACATACAGCGTAATGATGTTGCATCTGCACGCACAGCGCAACTTTTGACAGAACAGTAAAATAAGTAAGCAAGGGCGCCATCTAGTGACAACATTAAACAGGGAGAAAACTCCTGAATTGGTTAGAGTGAGCCACTACCAAGTTTGTTGGTTTGTTGACAGCACAGGCGTAAATACAACTCTTCTTCTGCGGTTGTTTTAGTGAAATAAGACAACTCTGTGCATGTCCAAATGCTTCTAATCTGAATAATAAGCTTGGTGCATTTATACGTCCTTCTCGGTTTATTTGATTTTGCACCCACATAAACAGTGGATTCAGATTATCTGATCCCTCAAATTTTCTATCGGATCAAGAAATTTTGCCCTTGTAAACGTGGGTAATGATGTGCAGAAAGGGATGAAATACTACTCTAATAATAATAATAATTATAATAATAATAATGCATGAACTTTGGACCTTTATGGTTATTTGCTAGCCATGCTGGGTTTGTGTAGACCAATCAGTCCCTCATTGATGAGCATATTACTTATATTCCTAATTTGCTTTTCTTCCTTTTCATTTCATGTGGCAATAATGTGTCTTATGTCAACTGAGAAGCACTAAATAGACAGTTGCTGTTGTGCACGTTAAGGAATGTTAAGACTCTTGCAGCACAATAAACCAAACATGAGTCACATTCATTTATGTCGAAGCATGCATTCAGAGAGGTCTCTTCACTCATCCTTGCTGTTCATAATGACTGCTTAGGCCTTGACAGAATAGATTTTTCTCTTGAGTTTATAAGGTATATCTCCTTTTCTTCCAGTGGACATATAAAGAATGACAGATACATCAGTAAAATAACAGATAATAACGATTTCATGGTTACAGTGCCAATGATAACTATAAAAACAGCTGAATATTAGCTCTGATAGCTGTTGTAATGATAGAGGATTGGGGATGATGAAAGTGCAGCAGTTGAGGCACATTTGCTTGATAACATCCATGCTTTAAATGAGGTTTGAATGTAGCTGTGCAACATGAACGCAGAATTCAGACTCACTTAGCCTCCAGCACATTAGATGTGCTGTTAACATGTGTGAGGGCATGTATTTGAATCACACCAATTAAATTCAGATGGTGGTAAAACAAGACTTTAAATGTGATAATTAGATACACTGGCATGAGAAATAAGTTGTGCAAATGATCTACATGTAAACAGGGGAAGGGGTTCGATGCTGATCTAATATTCCCTCCATCTTCAGCTCTCCTCTGCAGATTATTTATTCCTATGAACTCTCAGTTTGTTGATTTGAGAGTTTTATTTAAAGTGCGCTGCTGCAATAATGAAATTTCCCCATGGGCATCATTAAACTCACATCTGATCTCGTCTCATCTCCTCCCTGTGTGTGCGTGTGTGCTCCCTCGTCCCGCTGGTGCGTGAGGACGAAGGTCCAGGAGGGCAGAACGAAGGGACAGTTCACTGGCTCCTGTCCCGGTTTGAATCCCCCGCGGGGTGGATTGGGACAGACGTTCATGACCCTCAAGGCCAGCTAAGCCCCAACAATCTGTTCCCCCAGCTAGAGACAACTGGTGTTTGTGTGTGTGTGTGTGTTTGATAGAGAACCGGAAATCAAATTAAGAGTGAGTGTGTGTGTGTCAATATGGCACCATGTGGGCAGAAGTCTGAGCGTCCTTCTTTTACACCAATAGAGACGGAGTTTGTCATCTCACTCCACTGCTGAGACTTTTGAATGGGATCAAACTGAAAGAGCCAGGACTGAGGGTCGACTAACAATGTGTGTGACGCATGTCGACAGGCTGACGCAGGCTGTGAGAGTCAGGGAGTGTTTGAAGAAAAGTGACTATTTACCTTGGTGATGTGTCAGAACAGCAGTGTGTTGAGCTGAAGGTCACTGCGTCCTTTCAGGAAGTTCTGAAAGTAACTCGTGGTGAAGCATTCAAACCTACCACTCTGCTCTCACTTTTTTTTCCCCCTTCTCTTATTATTCTGTTACTTTTACTCCCAATCTCCACCGACTTTTTTGTCTTTCTTTCTCCAGAGACTCACATATGGATTCACACATAAACTGATGGATGAGACGAATCTTACGAAGAACATTTATGATCATTTCTTCATGGGAATGCAATCAGACTGAGACACTAAGGCAGAAGAACTATCACATCTGCAGTGCAAAATGATTAATATGATGATTATTACTTCAAGGAAATGATAAAGTTATGATCATGAATGTTCTTCCTTGAGCTGTGTCCCCCTGCTGCAGTCGATGGACTCGCCCAAAGCTCTCCCGACAAACAAGCAGCTGCTAGAAGAGACTGGGTGAGATGTATTTAGTCTCTTTGCTAAAGACATTAGCAAAGTTAAAAAGATGTTTGGAAGCTAGTGCTATGGCTAGGACCCTATATGTACTGTTGATGAAGTTAGGTGCTGTTCTGAGCATTATTTGTGGCTATAGAGTGGCTTTTTGGTTGAGCGCGGGGCTCTCTTTATTGCTATCCTGTGGTTATTACTAAAGTTGGTATAACTAGAAAAGCAAGCGGTCAGCAACATTCATCGGGGTGTCTGACTCTGTGTTACAGTGCGTTTGACCCTAACTCAATTTTATGCTGGAATATCACTTTAAGGTGTGGAGGTTTGTGTGATATCAGAACAATTTGCAATAACTTTCTTCAATATGTGATTTTTTCAACATGATTAACATGAAATGCTGCATAGGACTGCAAAACTCAGTTTATGTTTTTGCTCTTGTGTATGACAGTGTGGTATGCTTTGTGAACTGAACCTTGGGCAAAAGCAGCTCGTGGAAGACACTCCTTGGTACAGTTTTGCCAAGTGATTTAATGGAAGTACTTTATGTTTCAGCACACAATACAGGGGGTCTACTGCTAGCTGTGAGTGTAGGGAGGGGGTGAATAAGAGGGTCAAACAATCACAGTACACAGACCCAGAAGACAACACTTCAAATCCTTTGTTTGGACAAATGTGAAGGAAAAAAGGGCTTAAGCAGCTAGTGTCACATGAGAAAACAATCAGCAGTCTGCAGTCTCTGCTGAAAACAATTGAACTCTGACTGACACAGCATGTTCCCTGTTGCAGACACAAAATGTGCGTCCTCTTTTAGAGTAAAAGTTCATTATATGCTGATTGAAAAACTATGTAACTTTAAATGTGAGGTCCTTCATTTTAGGCTTTATTTCTCAGGACCATTTCTCATGAACCATTAAGGGGGTGTCTGGGGTTCAGGGTTTCCAGTAAGAAAGTTTAGTTAGTTTATCAGAAAAAAATGTAGTTAACTTTTTTTCCAGCACCTGCAATTACAGTGATATATCGTAACAGGAGCATACACCATCATTAACATGTACAGCAGATGTGCAGCTCTTTGAGGTGCTGTCTGTTTTTCACCATCCCACCAGCTTCTGATAAAGTAGTGGAGCTTAGCAGATGGAAGTAAATTTTGAGGTAGGAAGTAGAGATGAACCAATCCATTTTTTTTCCGATACAATGCTGACAAATAACAAATTGCACATTAGCATGCAGCAAAAAGAAGTAAGACTTCCATGTAAACATTAAGTGCAAAAGGATCTGCATCATTCATTAGATAGCTAATTCAGTTAATTGGTCATTATCAGAGCCAATATCCGATCCAAATGTCGGATCGGTGCATCCCTAGTAGGAACACTTAGACTGTTCACAACAAATACTCACTTAATGTCTTTAATCCAAATGGTATACTTACTAGAAAATATACAGTTTTTTTCTTTAATTGCATGGCTTCACCACTGTTTATCTGGCATGTCTTAAGTGTCTGAGCAATATTTATATTGCTTTGAGCAATATTGCGCAATATTAAAGCTTCATCTACTTAGAAAATCACTGTAGTTGAATACAAACGTGCAAATAAAAATAATAAAAAAAAACAAAAATTCACCTTGAAGTGGAAAAAAATCTACTGCTTTTTGGATTTATTTGATCCCTGGTAGTTATATGAAGTGAAAAAAAGCATAAAATGAATTTAATGATAAAGTGCATCATTCCATAGTGGTTTTTGTTTCACACCTTGTATTGTTAAAAAAAATTGTTAAAAACCATTTTTTTTTCTTCAACTTTTCTCTGTTCTGATCTTCCTGCTTAATTAACAACCACCTCACATAGAGATGTATGACATTCAGTTAAATAATAGATGACTCAAACCGACCTTGGAGTCACAGGTTCAAGTCTGATAGAATATTAATAAAGTGAAAAATTATACAAATATTGTTGGAAAGGAGGATTGGAGGAGAAAACGTGTCAACTCTGAGGTTTTGGAACAAGTTTAATTCAACACATCAGGCCCCGCTCTGACTTTCTGCAGTAAGTTTTTAAAGAACTGTCAGATATATTCTGAGGAAGGAAAGCAGAACTTTACCACCTGGACCACTTTCATTTACATGAAAAATAACAGAGCTACCAGAAAGCACCCGACATTTGTCAGATACATGGTCCAGCATCTGCAGTCTTTGGGTCTGTAGATACATGTTACTCCTGAGCATCTGTACCTGACTGTCTACTGATGAACTAAAACCTACTCTACTGGTACTTGAAACAGATGAACAGGTGAAAACCTGGGGAATGTAATGGGCTATGAAATGAACACATCTGAAAAGTTAGTCTTGACTGGAAATCATTTACAAATCTACTGGTTGGATCCATTCCCAGGGGCATATAGCACCTTCTGTGTCAAGACGATTGATCAATGATTGTCAGGGGGTTTCAAGGTTGATCTTTTACAAATACTGAAAGTATGAACTTGGTCTCACAGCTTCTGATTGTCTTTAAATAAAAAAAATGGAGACCCTTTCTTGTCTTACTATTTTCCTCATGCCTGATGTTCATATTATTTTAGACATATAACTGACAGAAATTAGTCCTGGTCTAGAAATCCTTATAGTGATTGTGTTTTTTCAAGTGGCAGGGCCTGTGGTGTTTACGTGCATTTTAAATCAGACATAAATCTACTGGAACATGATTTAAATGTTTTTCCACTGACACTAAAGGGTTAAACTCACCTGCATCTGCTCCCTGCGCCGCCTGCAGCCCTTCAGACGTGAGGGCCAAATAGAGAGTGTGTGTCTGAGTGTGTGAGGGACAGGAAGAGACTGAGTGCATCTGTATATATATGTGTGTGTGTGTGTGTGTGTGTGTGTGTGTGTGTGTGTGTGTGTGTGTGTACAGTGTATTCTCCAGGGTTCAGACACTGCATAGCGTCAGGATATTTTGGAGGCTGTCTGCGGAGCCCGGCTGAAGTGGCAGAGGAGCTGTGAAACAAGGATGTGTGGGGGAGGGGTCTGCACACCTTTCACTTTCCTGCTCTCACTATCAGTAAGCTTTGTGTTGTAGATGCAGCAATGCTACATCGCTCAGCAGGGATGAATGAGCTGCGTTTCGGAAAAAATGAAGAAAGTATAACAATATCGTGGTAGTATGCTGTTGTTCCTCAGAGGCAGATGGAGCCGCTGGAATTCAAGGAGAGCTTACAAGGCTTCCTCCAATGGAAGCTAGTTTACAACAGTGAGGTCCAGGTCACTTAAAGTGCAGAGTAAGTTTTATACTGTGTGCCCAGTCCTGAAAATGTCTTTGCTGTTGCCAGGCAACTGTAATATCAGCTGTAAAACCTTCCAGGCCCATACTTAGAGGTGTCTATAATGTATAGGCTCCCACTGTCTTAATATTTTAATCTACACTCTCACACCTTTAACCTACACTTAAATATCACACTTTCCAATTTAAAACCAAAAGTTCACTGCCTACTCTAACAGAGAGAAGTTGTGGCTCAGCAGGTACTCCGTCTCGACTTTTTTACTTGAAATTTTAATTCTTGTTACTGCAGTCTGAATGTCAAAGTATCACGTGGTGAGACACTGGAACCTGGTAACTCACAAAGGTATAGTTATCCGTGTGTATGAATGTATTTATAGCTGACAACAGTGGACATACATGAACAAAAAATAAGGAGATAAAATAACCATGGTTTTCTTTTATGGTTAAGACAATAAGATGGTTAAACTACAGCTTTAATAATAAATTCAGTGACAACCCACACTTCATTTAGAAGTGTAAATGATTTTAACTTGATTATTTTCTCTTTTACTATTTTCCTCTTCCTCATTACATCCTTCTCTCTGTCACTGATGTTTTTTTATTTTTAATGATTTTCACAGCTCATGTCAGTTACTAAGCTACAGCTACCAGAGATGGCATAAGTTCAATACAAATCCAATTCTGAAGAAAATCCTGATGTTCTGTCAAACACTGATTAAAAAACAGAATATTAAAATTAACTGAACCCCATACTGAAATAATGCAAAGCTAACATATCAAATGTTGGAACTGAAAATATTGTTCCATGAAAAAAATGTTTGTTTTCAGGTTGATGTCAGCAACATATTTCCAAAAAGTTGAAGCTAAGGCAGGTTTACTATTGTGTTGCTTCACTTCTTTTAACAACACTTAAAATGTTTGAGAACGGAGGAGATCTGCCACTACATTTTTAAAGAGAAGTTCTCCCATTCATGCCTGGTATAGGATTTAAGCTGCTCAACAACTCAGGATCCTCTTCAACTGTGATAAAGTTACAACCGCACGCGGGCTAGTTTAGCACCAGGACACTTCTACTACAGAGCTATAAAGTTGCCTTCCGAGTTGTGCAATTAACCCATGCTGTGATTTTATGCATCCCTATACCATGCTGGATATTGATCGTATGCTGATAGCATATCAGGTAATCTCTCTCATCTTTAGATCAATAGAAATTGTTTCCATGATTTCCAAGAAGAATGTCGTATTTTAATTGGTCAGGCTAAATGACAGTATTGGATGTAAAAGTTTAAGTGCTTTGACAACTTAATAAGAGCTATCTAACTTAAGTCCATTTACTATTTATGTCATACAAAAGATTATGAGACCCTTGCAGAAAAGGACGACAAGCACAGAGATGTATTTTTGTGAAGCAGTAAGTGTTTCATTATTCACACACTATGAAATCTGCTGATTATCTACATCTGATTATTACTCAGGCTCTATTTTGCCTATAGTGCTGTGCATGTATGTAAATGTATGCATGTGTTTATGAATATCCTGCGGAAACACAGTGGCTTTGTCGCTAATGGAAGAGGACACCACCTCAGGACGACTGATTTCATATAGCAGGAGAGAGAGAGAGAGAGATGCAGTTTTTGTGTGAACCCTCTGTAGCACTGATGACACTGTAATTTCCGACTCAGTTTATGAGTTTGTGTTTGTGTGTAAATCTGTGGTATACAGTAGTTTTTTTCTGCTCCACTGCAACTCATTTACCTCAGCATAACTCCATTTGCAACACTTACCACACAGAGTGAAAAGAGGGAAAAAGACTTTGTCAAGAGGAGTTTATATTCAGGAAGACAAATAAATAAGGAAGAAAGAGGAATTGATGAGTAGCATCCTCTGTGGACTCAAGCACTGGCTATGATACATTTCCTCAACCTCTAGCATAAAATATACCATAATGCACGTCAGCAACTTTGTGTGAGGGTTGTGTGTCAGTGATGCTTGGTTCGGAGCAATTCAACCTTAGTCTTTGATGCCAAACTGTGTCACATATTCCCATGGCTATGCTTTTTTATGTGAGTCCAAAGAGGCTCTTAGTTCATAAAGCTTTGATTACTGTGTTTTGATTCAGAAATTACACAATGGATCTATAACGCAACTGGCATTTTATCTGAAAGTACAGAGTGTTCGTCAGTGAATCTCTGTCGTCATGCGCCTCTCAACTCAGCAAGGTTAACAGCCACAACAATAAAGGCCTGAGCAGATTTTTAATGAGTGTTTACCTGGTGTGCACAGGGATTCCTCTATTTAACCCTAGAACACTATCACCAGGTGATTTTCGCCCGACCAAACATGTTCACGTAATTTTCATTATGTTGCGTTTGTCTGAGTATCATGGGTCCTTGGGTAGCTTCAGTGTTGCCTTCGACATCTTTGAAGGCATATTTGTTTCCTTGATCCAAAACCCACTTTTTCCTACAGGCAAGTGTTCGGGTGATTTTCACCCAGCAATAGTGATAGAGGGTAAAGTGGGTTTGGTTGGATTTGATAGCTGCATGTAGGTGACTAAGGTCAGTCAGAGTGGTCCTGGAATTTGCATGCTATCTTTATTTAGCGCAGTGGTTACAAATAACTATCACAAGTTTACAGTTCCGATATAGGTATAGTTTTTTTTAAGGAATTTTTTGTTCATGAATGCCTAATTTCAGTTATTTTGTTGCATTTCTATATGGTCCCTTTATGGCACTTTTTTCACTTCCTTTGGATATTGTACAGTTAAAAATGGAAGAAAACTAGTTTGATTTGCCATGTGTTGTCCTATTTTGATATATTTTAATGACAAATACTTTTTCTTGGGTATATTATTTCAGGTAAAAATCACCCGGTGATAGTGATGGTGTTACTCATTTTAGTGATAGTGTTCTAGGGTTAACACTCAATAACTCCAGCTGAATTTATTTCTTAAGACGTGCAGCCATCAGCCAGAACACAGCTAGGATAGCTACAGGTTTAAGTTTGTCAGAGTTTCCTTTTTTTTTTTTTCAATCAACAGGCTCAGATTTTTGCTCAAACATAACTCATCAGTTTTTGAGTTAAACAAAACTCCTTCACTTAAAGTTGAATTTGGAATTTAGACCAGAAACCAAGGTTACATGCTTCCTTAATTATGACAGGACATAAAGATCGTTCTGCCTCACAGACTTCTCTCAGATTTTGTTATTTGCTTTTCTATGTGGGAGTTTGTTCAGTTTTTTAAAATTTCTTCAGGTGAAATAAGTTTCACAGCAGAAGGTTTTTCAGCATCTCCGTTTGCTGAGTAAGTCTTATTTCTTCTGTCGCCCATCACTTCATGTTGTCGGCTGGATTCGAACATAAAGATCTCTCCTGCTGCAGGTTATTTTATATGACGTGTCATGTGAAGCCTCTTTTTTATGAGGAAGTGGGTCAGGGAGGTGGAAGAGCCTCAGAATATTTGGCAGGAAAGTCATTAAGTTTGACCTAAGGGCCTGGTGGATTATGGGATGCTACAGTGCAGCGAAATCATGGACACACACACATGCGTAAGCACACACTCACACAGGACCAGATCCACAAATACAAGTACACACACAAACAGTGACACAGGTCAGCAAAGGTCCATGGCAAAGTTTGACCGAAGCTGGCAGCTTGTGTGGGCGTGGTCAAGAGCAGGCTGTTGGTTTATGTGTGTGTGAGCTTGTGCAATTTAAGGCTGTGTTTATGTGTGTAAATGTGCGTGTGTGTGATCAGAGGTCCTGCATGTGTTAAGGACAGGCCTGCTAACTAGGCCAACAGCTGCTTCCCTGGCAATTCATCTCCAGTCAGCTTTGAAGCCCTTTTTTCCTATTATTACAACACAACACGGGACATTTTGCATTTTAATGAAGCTCATATTTTAGTGTGCTGCCCATCACACACATGGACACACACCGCAGTTACAACAATGTGCACAAACACACATCATCAAAACCTTTTTTTGTGGAGAGAATTAAAAATACAAGTGTCCAGGTGTCCGCTCCAAGCCTGCTGTATGTGTTATGTATTCAAATAGATGCAGCATATTCAGCTGAGCGTGTGTGTGTGTCTGTGTGTGTGTGTGTGTGTACGTGTGTGCAGTGTGGGTGGTTATGATCATGCACCACAGAAATTAGTCTTTGTTTAAATTCAGACAAGCTGCCTCCCTGTCCCTCCATTACCTTTCATGCGAGTGTGAGGTGTGTGTGTGTGTGTGTGTGTGTGTGTCTCTGTCTTTACTTTGATGGTGGACAGAAGGCGTGTTTTCTCGTTCAAAGAGATCCTCTGTTTCTTTTCTCTTTGGTTTAGTTGATCTCAAACGAAAGGAAGAAGATTTCAGGACAAGAGGCTGTAACACACACACACACATGCACACACACACACGCACTCGCACACACACACTCATGCACCTTCCGTCTCCTTCTTCCTGACACACTCTGCTATTTCCTCGTCTCTTCCTGCCTCCGTCCATCACTCTGACACACACAGCGAGGTGCACCGAAGCGAGGCTGAGCACACAGCTGTGAACAAACCCAGAGGCCTGCGCGTCTGTGTGTGTGTGTGTGTTTGTGTGTGTGTGTGTGTGTCTTTGACAGCCTGGACCTCTGAGACAACACAAGGCGTAAACAGGTCAGCATGAGAACGGGGGCATTGTGAGTGAAGGGTTACATGAGAGGTGGAGTAAAAAGGTTAATCCGAATAGTCGTCAGTTTTCCCTTGAATGAGAAGATCCTGCACCTACATACTCTCTGTCTCTCTCGCTTTCTCTCTCTCTCCCTCTCACACACATGCATATGCACGCACAGATGAGTGGTTAAGCTGTGTTTGAGGCTTGATAAATGACCACAGTCAGTGGTCAGCCTCTTTTCCTCTCCAGCTGCTCCGCCACATGCTCACTTTGAGTTGTACAGCATGTACAGCAGGCCTTGTGTTCTGGCGCATGAGCTGGTGCAAAGGCAGCTGGTTGTTCTGCAGCAGCGTGTTCACTAAGAGTGTGTGGTAAAACATCATAGAAGTCTGATTTTATAGCACAGATTTTCACTGATGATGCACAAAAGTAAGACACAATGGAAAGTGGTAAAACATCTGTGCATGTCAAAGATATAAACAACATGGACAAGTTTGCACCCCTTTGATATCCATGTAGTCTGAGGTCAAAAGCAAGTTACCGACCTTTGAAATTTGTATGTATATATATAGTCTGTTATATTCATTAGAAGCTCCTATTGAATCTTCTATCCTGCATTTGTAAAATGTGAAGCTTAAAAAACACTATCTTTTGCATCTTTGTCACATCAGTAAAAATGCTACTCTTGTCAAACCCAGTTGGCAAGATTTGATGGTGGAAAATAAAGCAGATGAAAACCTGCAAAAGTTGCAGTTCCATGAGTGTCCACTTGAGGCTGGTTGCAACAGGCAATAACTCCCCATTGTTTCCTATTCAAAATGCCTATTTTTACAACAGAAATAAACATACTTTTCACCTGGTTTTAACACAGTGTTAAGTAGAGCTGGGTGACCAAGAGAAAATTTATAGATACCGAAATTTACGACAATAACCGACGTCATTTTGCCTATTTTGGTATGTTCAGTGTCAAAAAAACAAATAAATAAAAGTTGGTTTTGGATGTGTGTAGGTAGGCTATGGTCTCATGTCTCTTTAAGACGCTGTCCTACAGAGACGTGACTTCACCCCAAGTTAATGTGGGGGTGGGGGGTGGTTGGCAGCTTGTGGAGTAGTTAGCGTCCATTTATCGTTATTGAGATGAACTGCTCAGTATATAGTGATATTGTTTTGAGGCCATATCATCCAGCCCTAGTCTTCAACTTGTGGCTTATTGAAATAGCAACCATACATTAAATATCTTAACATTTGTTAATGAGCAAAGCATAAATTTGCACAGTAGGTAGTATGTATATATCTGACAAATGATAAGACCCCCTGCTGTGAAACAGCATCAGCCTCACAGTTTAGTCCAGTCTGAATAAATACATTAATATCTCTCTTCACGGCGCACAGACAGTTTGGGAAATCTGTGTGAGATGTGTAAAAACACAAACAGCTTGTTTGACAGATAATGAGGAACTGTCCTCCCATTTCAAACTCAGCTGACATCTGTATCTCCCTCCAGCTACAAAGAAACAGCTGCTGGCAGTGGAACAGCAGAAATCACCAGGAGTTTAGACGACAGTGTAATTATGTGTGTGGTGTGAAGTGACAATATTTGGCAAAGCTGGCTCTTTTCCTGCAAACTGCCACATCAGTCTGAAAATGTGCAGCTGTGATACTGAAAGGGTCAAGACTGAAGGCAGATTAAAAACCAGCCTTTACTTTTCTTCTTGTCATCTTGGCAGATTCACATTTACAGTTGATGGTTCCTTTAAAACTCATTCATTCCTACCTGGATGCATAGGATTTCAAAACAGACATTTTGTAGGAGGCATATATTCAGACACACTGACATATTTATAGTAACTGTCACAAAAAGTCTGGACATGAGAGGATGATGGGTAAAGGGAAGTGCTGCCAGTGGCTGCCCATCGAGTGAGGGATTAACGTGGATGGACAGAAAGTGAAGGTCTTGTGTAGTTCAGTCAGTGAAGCAGATCAGAGTGAGCAGATATACCTCTCACTGAGAGAGTGTGTGTGAGGGATATAGCAAATAGTTGGCTGAGATGGTTTAAGCGACCAGGTACACACATAAAGTCACAAACAGATTTTAAAGTGAGTGCTGGCAAAGATTTTAATTTTGATTTTAATTTCTGTTTTCCTTTGCAGCTCTGATATCTGCCGGCTGCTGCACCAACTCCTGTAGAAGTGTAAAACTTTGGGACAGGTGAGTACATGCGCACACTATGGAGCAACCACACATCTGCAACCTCAACTTCAGAAAAATTAGGATGCTTTGGAAAATGTTATTAAATCAGATTTTGACAGTAAGCACTATTCTATGAAATACTATGGAAAAAAAATGACTCTAGAGTGAAAATTTAACACATGAACTTGAAATTACTCCAAAATATCACTATCTGTGAGCAGTTTGTTGTTACATCTACAAACACAGACTAAAACTGCAATGCAAAAGGAAACCATATGTAAGCATGATCTAGAAACGCAAAAACTTAACTGGCCTGTGCCCATTTAAGATGGACTGAGATACTGAGATGTCCTGTCCTGGTCTGCAACAGCGTGGCTCTGTAGTAGAAGAGTTCTGGTGCCAAACTGACCTTCCTGCAGTCCTGACTTGTCACAAGTTGACAACATGTGGCACAATATGAAACTGAAAATATGAAAAACAACTCATTGAATTTGGTTATATGTTAATTCCTAAACTCCAGATACTGGTCTCCTTGGTCCCTAAATAAGGGTATGCCAGTGAAGCTGACCTGCCATACAGTGTCCCAATGTTTGTTAAAATTAGGACCCAAAAATGTTGTTTTCTTCTGGCGATGCAACTAAGAAAATAGTCTCTTAATTGTAATAATTATGTTACAATTATCTATCAGAAGTACATTTCTTTACCGACAGAGATGGCAAAATAACGTGTTATGTTGATGACAATGATACATTGTGATATGTTGGACAGCAAACTAACATTTTGTCTGCAGAAGTCTGCAAAAGTTTACAAAATAGTGGTTTAACATGCAGAAAAACAAAGAAGAAAAAAAACTCAGACTACATGTAAATAATAAAATAAAATAAAAAGGGAAGAAATAAAAGCTGTGATGAGTGTCACATGAGCTGAGACGTCATTAAAACGAAGACATTAAAACAAAGACATCATAAGAACCCATAATGTTCCAACTCTATGTCTACAGAGAAATTGGAAAAAAACAGATATAGTGTGGAACCAAGGCTTAAGGCCACCTCAGGCCAATCAGATAAAACTCAGATTCCCAGAAACCCCTGAGGATGTGAGCTTTATGTCCTCAGTGGTGACTGCCCAACACAAGAGGCAATTTTTAGTAAAGGTGGCTTCCGGTATAGAAAATGTCAAAGTGTGCGTGTGTGTGTGTGTGTAGGTGTGATTGTGTGGCTGTTTGTGTGTGTTAATATGAAAGGTCAGCCTGGCGTGACCCCTGCTTTAATGCACTGGCCACGGGGTGAGTGATGGCACCAGGTTAATATTTAATGATGAAGCAGTTCCTAATGGAGGAATAAATCAGCCTCCATCTTCACCTGGAGTGGACAGATCTGTGCTTTCTGCTGAGCACAGGCTACACACACACACACACACACACACACACACACACACACACACGAGTCTTCATGCAGTAATGGCACTTTTTCCTTCTTGTCTTTCAGCTTTGATGCCTCCTGACCATGACATGCCTCTTGATTCGATGCTGCTTTGAAAACACAAACCCTGGAGAGGAAAGAGGAGCGTTATGAGCAGGACGGATGGAGGAACAGACGAGTGGATAGCTGCATAACTGTATGATTATGGGATTTGAGATCAAGCAGTAAGGATGCAGATAAGTGCGAAAAGGCAACAAAGAGGCAAAACATTGGAAACACTTGAACACTCTCTCTGCCCTGTCTGCTGCTGCTGCTGCTGCTGCTATGCATTACCTGTGGACCACCAGAAAAGACTGAATGTCATTGATCGGACAAGCAGAGGCTGAACTCTGCATCGCCAAAACAAAGAGGAGAAAATGAATAAGACAGCTGAGAAGCGTTGTGTTGCCAACTAAAAGTCCTACCTCTTTGGAAAGACACCTTTTGGATGAATGAGTGAAACTGAACATGAAGGAGTAGCTTCTCATGCTAACCGTGGAGATTACAGCCCTTTCTCTACACACTGAAACACCAGTAAATATTTGAAAACTTAGTACCCAACACAAGAGGATGGTAACTTCTTTTTCAAAGATGCTGCGGGCCTGGAATAAAAGCACAAAATTACTCACTAAGACAAGATTTACTAAAAGAAAAGGATAATAGGGTTTTATTATAGCAGATTGAAGCATTGTTATTTAGTATTTATAAAAACAATGAACTCAAATTCGCAGCAGACGTCTGGTAACACAACAATCAAGATCTGGTGGGGCAAGAAACACAAAATGTCCAATACACAGATAATATAAAAGCAGTTTAGCTTGATCTCATTCAATCATTTCATTTGAAGCCAACTTAGAGAGTCTCAGTCAACTAAATTGCACCACAATTTTTCACTACTGTTGAAACATAAACGTACAAAGTTGTTATACTTTTAGTAAAATGTACCAGTCAAAAGATGAAAAAGAAGAAAAAAAAGGAGTGGTTTTATTGTATTGAGTTTTGGATGTTAAAAATGACAAAAAAAAGGATACTATTTATCATATCACAGGAGATTATTGTCATATAAGGCCACTTCATCTGTTGCTTCAGTGATGGGAGGGGGGATCAGTTGGCTGCATGAAATACAAAAGTCAGAAGATGGAGGATAATAAATTATTTTTTGTGTACGTTTTTTTTTTTCATATTAAAATTTCAGTAACACTTGACCTGACACCTATCTCTTTAACGCATTATAAATATATGTAGAATGCGTTATAATCCCGTTATAGCGCTGTATAACTATAGTTATAAACACTCATAAATGATCATAATGCTTTATAGCAATAATCAACACATTATAGAGCATTTTATCATGACATACAAGGTCAGGGATTATAATGTGTTATGCTTATTGTCTGTGAGTTGTTAACAGTTATAACACATTATAATACCTGACTTTGTAAGTCATGATCAAATACTTTATATGTTATGATTATTGCTATAAAGCATAGTGATCATTTATGAGTGTTGTAACTCTAGTTATACAGTGCTATAACATGATTATAACACATTATACATATATTTATAATCTGTTATAGAAATAGACGCCAAATAAAGTGTTACAAAATTTTTTGATGGTCTAATATCTTTCATGCATCAGATAGGCTTCCTGTCCTCAAGGACTATCACTGATATTCTGACAGGAAGAGTGAGCAAGGGAGCATTTCACGCCAGAATCTGACCCCCAGATTTTGTGCAGTAGTCAAGTTTCTTCACAATGTACCTTTAAAAAAGATGCAATGGTTTGATCAAGTGACCAAGGTTAGCAGAGCTTTGTCATTGATAAGAAATATTCAAAGCAACAGACAGCTCTTGTGAAAGAGGTTCATGCTGTTATTTGCAAATTAGCATTACTTCAGCATAGAAGTGACCAAATTGAATACATCACCAAGCAGTTTCATAAAACCTGGCTCGGCTCTTGTGTTTCTTTGCCCGTCAGATTTTTTGTGTGTGTTGCTTTCTCGATCAGAGCCAAAATGAGTCTGCACCAAATAGTTTTCATCTCAGATTTGCAAAACCTAAAATTAATTTTGCAAGCAGAAGTACTGAAAAAGTGAAGATTTTCAATTTCCAGGCTTCCTGTTAGTGAAATTTCTGTCATATGCAGCAGCTGATTAATTATCTTTCTTGACTTTTTTTAATGAGAAATAAGCTAACATTTGATAATTCCTGTTCAAAGTTCGCAATGTGAGTCATGATAGAAAAAATAAGTGGTGTCCTCGACTTGATGTCACTAACTTACTCTCTGTTTGAATTTATGAGCACGTGGAAATTTCAGATTTGAAACAGCAGGTACCAGCACAGCAAGCATTTACCTTTGGATCAAAATAAGCTAACAGAAAAGCTAACAGTCGACAGTAGCTTCTGTGGCGTTATCAGGCACATACCCGAGAGGCTGTACTCTAAAAGATTACAGAGAGAAAATGAAGGTTTGATGTGTTTGAGAAATTTCAATATGTTCCTGTTTAGAAGAGGAGAAAAGTTTTGCTCATTTTCTGCTCCCCGTTCTGATTTTGTGGAAAGATCCGTTCCTGTACTGACAGTGTTATAGTAACCTTAACCTTGTGTCAGCGTTCAGTCATACATATGGTGCTGTGTGTGAGTGCGTGTGTGTGCGCGTGCGTGCGTGCTTGTTGTTTTCCACGCTCCCAGGTATCTAGACACAGACAACATGCTCTTCCATCATTTTATCACAGCATGTTAAAGAGATGTGAGGCTGCAGATGCCAGAAGACACACAGAGCGAGGAAGCACAGTGGAAATCTAGCAATGCTATTTTTAGACTTTCTCAACGTTGGTGCTTCGAGGCTGAAAAACAAAACCTCTTAAATCACACAGTATTTTCTTTTCTCTAAATTTAAGGATGAGTATTGGTACAGGGCTGCCTGATGCAAGGAGAATAGTGTGCTTTTTCAACACTGCTTTAAATTCCTCTGAATTAAACTTATTTGCAGTCCAAAGGGAAGGTATCATTTAAAGTGAGCAGGTTGTTAATAAGGGGAGCAGGACCCTGACACAAAGCTGAAGGGTCCTCTTTCATTTTCAAGGGGTTTCTTGGACAAGCCTGAACCAATTCTGGATGGCTGTGATCTTGCACTGCATTAAAACAAACATGACTTTGTAGCGGAAGTACTTTCAAAAACCATTTACAGTTAATCAATGATTTTGCACTATATGTTGATTTGTAGTAGTGAAATGATTGAAAATCTTACGATAGAAATATTCTATTTCACCCACAATCACATCAATGATAATGGTCAACTCCTAGAAGCTCCTAAAATGAGTGAAACTAGCTATGGTAACTTATTGAAGACTGGACAATTCAACATTTCTGGTCAATATTTGTAGAGTTAGTCCTTACGAGTCTGTGATTAGAGTCAGTCCTTGATAGACTCTGTCTCTGTAAATTTGACGCTCAAATATCTGAAATGACACAGACCTGTCCTTTTTTTATAACAGTATATTTTCTTTCCAAATGTGCTCATTTTAACCAGGTTTCAAACTGCTTATACACACAGATGATTAAATAACTAGCCTCACAGCTGACATTATTGTCATGGTTGTCACAGTTGATACTGGCCATAACCGTTTGTCAACAAATTGATCATCTTCCATGAAAAAATGTGCTGCTCTTCACAGATGGAAAATAACTTAAATATCACGAGTTACATGAAATATTAACTATCTGTCCAACCATTTTTCATTCAGTTTAAGTTGTTGAAAATGTACTTGTGCTTCATGGTTTTAAACTGCATTTTTTACATTGACATCAGAGCCTCTTCTTCCCGTGGGTGTTTTATTGGAGACTTCTTGGATTTAATGATGAAATGCTCCCACTCACATACACGTACCTTCCAAACTGTTTTTTTTTTTTTTTTTGCTTTGCTTTCAAAGAGAAACTGGAGTTCACTAAAGGCCCAGGCATACCAAATCCAAGGTCGAGAATTAACCGGAAATGACTCACTGACTTTGAAAAGCAGCGACTGATATTGATGTTGAAAATAAGTTTGAAACTGTCCGTTAGAGATCCAGCACAGCCGCTGTGATCAGTGACAGCTAAGCTTGGTTTCAGCAGGATCAGCATCAGTACTAATGACATCTCCAGAGATGTCTGTCCTTACCAGAATATGGGAAGTAATTTATGCCTGAATGTTTACTTTCTCTTCCAATGCTGCGTTTGCTTAGTTTCCTCCCCAAGATGAATTGACAAAGAGGTGTTGTCCTGATTTAACTGGATACCTGGATGTGTGGAAATTATGGCATCTTACTTGACGCACACACAGTGGCTCTCAGTACTCAACACATACAGACATACAAACATGTACATTTAACCCAATCCATCCTGTATAACCTCTTCACCCTGTGAGTTTTTTTTTAGATTTGGTGACTGATTAAACAAGACCAGAAATCTAATATATTATCAAAGACATATTATGTTTTTAAAAGTCAAGAGTAGTATATCTGCTTAGTTTTATAAATATATAACTACAGTTATTATTTTTGACTTCTTGGTATTATATAACTAATTATTATAACCAGAGATGTATGTATAAGCTAATAAAGTGTCTTTATGTAAAAATGACTCTTTTGCACAGTCTTCATTTTACATGTTGGTTTGATCACAGACATACGGTGTAATGTTTACTTTAAACAACTTGAAGCACCAATCTGAAGGAAGAACTCATATTTTTCCAAGTATTTCAGACAAAGACAAGGGATGATGTGTCGTAGTCTGTTCAGACAAATCAGCAACAATATTTATTACAATTTTGTCCACAGGGGGGCACCAAAGTCAACACAAACAAAAAATTCCTCACAGTAGCTTTAAGTGAAGTCAGAATGGAAGTTAAAAAATCTGCACTTTTTAAAGAGTCCACCTTAGGAAGTGTCCGGAAGCCAAGGAAACTCTGTTAGAACCATATTAAGAAGCGCATTTACATTACTTCTTTTTTCATATCAACTGCACAAAGGGTGTTTGTATAACTCATCTGGCAGTATGCTAGTGTTCAGGAGCATGTTCTATGAAGCAAGTTTAACCTCTTGTATCTTTTTCTCTGGTCTGGTTCCACGAATCATGACTGACAAGATCACACTTAATCATCCTACAAAGCTGGTTGTAAAAACCCAATAAGACCCAGAGAAAACTGTGATTTTTATCAAATATGATTAATTCCAACATGTTATATATTTATATAATTCATCTAACCATCCATAACCTTTACTCCTTATGTTTTTCAGGGTTGCAGGGGCGGGATCCTATCCCTGCTGTCGTTGGGTGAGAAGCGTGGTACATTATGGATAGGTCACTAGTCTGTCACAAGGCTGACACATAGAGAAAGACAACCAGTCACACACACACACACCTACAGACAAATTTGAGTGACCAATTAACGTGACAAGCATATCATTAGATTATGAAAGAAAGTCGGTCATTGAGAGAACTCAGGCATGAATGGAGAGAACATGCAAACTCAACACAGAAAGGCTCCTTCTCAGCTGGGGGGGTCGGAGCAGGAACCTTATTGTCATGAGGCAAGTGCTAACGCCTGCATCACTGTGCAGCCCTTTAAAAACATCATCCAGACTAAACTTGACAGGGCTGCATTTGCAAAATAAAGAAAGAACTATGAGATGGGAGAGAAACATCGAGAGTAAATGTACAAATTAAGACTTACAATATTACTTTCCCATCATATGCAATCCAATGATAATAACTCCCATTTGTTTACTGAAATCAATTTGTCACTCAGAGTTTCTCCTGTGGGTGTTGTAGATGTAGTATATCAGCTCCAGCTCTGCAGCGTTAAAGGGAGTAATAAAGTGATGGTACAAATGAGTATAGAAACATAATTCACAGCAATATGCTTAGTAATCTCTGTCAAAGAATGAAGTCAGGATAATACAACCGACGACATTCATTCAGAATTTCTGTTTGTAAAATCATACAGGTGGATGTGTCCTGACTGAGCTAAGTTGCCAATGCACCTGTTAACTGTTTAGCATCGTAGTGGAGGTGGACATTTCTGGTCAGGGTATATAAAGTGAAACAAGGACAGTAGACCAGTCAAAAACTGCCAATCCAGTTATGACTGTGGCTTTATTTAAATATTCTGATAGTAAAAACTGCACATTTCAAAACTTCAGAATTGACTTAGACTCATGCTTGAGCTTTGACAATATGGGCAGTGATGATACAGTGAATTCTGTTAGTGGAAATTATTACGATAGAAGGTTACAATACATACGAGCCTTTCTCCAAAGATGAAATAGATAATGTACAAAATTGCATCACTGATAACAAATACTCTAAAGATAAAATCAAGATATGTTTTTAAGATTTGTTTTCACTCACAAGACCATGACGAGACAAAATTGTTTTGGGTGGACTGACAGACATTAAAAATTCATCATATATTCCCTACAATTAGTCTAATCCACCTCCACCACCATTAGTCTAAAACACCAGCTGTGCTTTTCTGTAACCAGGTGGGTTCGTTTTTTTTTTTTTTTTTGTTTTTTTTTTAATTTAAACAGGTGCACTGTTGCTACAATCTTTTTTGGGTCTGTGAGTCTTTTTAATCTATATTCATGAACCTTTACTGATGCATGTCGATAACAAAGACACAACCATCTAACAGGACTTCATCTGTTAAGTGTTTGACATTTTTTGCAGCTGTAGATTTCCAGTCCTCATTTTATCCTGATTTGAAGAAACTTTAGAGAGCACATTTAGGAGGACGATTTTGAGAAATTACAAACTATTAATCAAAGGAAAATAAGGATGCACCTGAGAGCAGAGTGGGCTTTTTATTGGCTAAATTTCTGATATTGACTATGACAACAAAAGGCAAAAATGACTCTAATACAACTTAAAGGCATTTCAGTCAAGGACTTGGACTTGGAATAAAAATAAACTAGGTGCCAAAATTAATACTGCATCAAGACTGATTTGCTGTCTTGTTCAGCAATACTTCTACAATAATAAGTACCCCTTTAATGCCTGAAACCACAAATTATGACCAGAAAATTCTCATTTTTTGGAGCTGAAACATTTATTTCACTTACTACTGAAAACCCAAAAAATCAAAATGTCCTTAAAATTTTACATATCTATTTATCTTGTTTGATACATTAGATTTTTTTTGAAACTGATAAACTACAAGAGGACATTTTTATCATTTATCAGACTGCATTACGGTGTTTTTTTAGTAATTTGTTGATCATATTGGTTTGATCAGCTTGGCGGACCTCGGTGTGCCTCAGTCCAAGAAAATACCACTGCGCGGGGTCCGCCACCCTCCACGGCATCGCTGGCGGACATGAAAATAGAGCCCTAGATGTTTAAGACAATTAATGATTCGAGACAAAGGATAAATAAACACTACTGTGTTTGTGTTCACATATTTCATATGACCCCTGCATGTATGAAAGCCTTGGCTTGTGGCACCCTGGTCAAAATGGTGCTGGTACACTCCTGCATAGTGTACACTTTAAAGCATTGATCCACAATCTTAACTGCTATTTTTAACGAGTTAATTAAAGACAGAACTAATTGTATTTCACTGTACTTGACAGCGAAAAAGTCAAATAGCAAATAAATATTTTATGCATTAATTCTTTCAAATATTAAAAGGCTGATCTGCACAAAGTATCCGCCTTTTGCATTGATGCAATGCCAAGAGCTTGTAATACTCTTCTCAGTCATATCTCAGTGCAGCCGGGCGGCTTTGTGATCAATTCAGGTTCAAACTGCTTCCATTTACTATGAGCTTGTTTACGATGATCGCTCTCGGCTCTGTGGCAGCACACTTTGCTTAAGGTGCACACACTCCTGCTGCTCCATCAGTTACATTACTTTTTTCTTTGTGTGTGTGTGTGTGTGTGTGTGTGTGTGTGTGTGTGATGAGTACATTATAAATCAGTATTTCTTTATTTATTTGATTCAATTATAGCAGTAGTATATGTGTATTTCTCTTTATGTGTATGTGCGCTGCACTCAGGGAACAGATGGCTGGCTGGCTGCCAAAGGAAATAGTCCCCCCCATTATTTATTAGCTGTGATGGCAAAGGATCAAACAAATCTGAATAGGAGCCACCTACACAGCGCTCACACATATACACACACAGATACAAGCACAATAATATCCTTTACCTGCTCCCTATCGGTCTCCCCTGCTCTGCCTCTCTTTTATATTGAGGGACTTTTCCATATGAAGGTGTGTCACTGTAAGCATTAATATACAGACTACCCCTCACAAACACTCATACAGTATACAGTACTTGTGGCTTCACTCTGCAATGCAGCAGTGCTGGGCTCCTGGTGTTTCTGTCAGTTTGCCAGCACCACGTCTGTCCCAGATCCTTGGTGACTGTCTGTTCTGGTGAGTCACTCTGTCTGCTCATCATTCTGACTCTGGCCCTCTCTTCTAATAACACCCCACTGCCCTCATATATTTCAGGATTTCTAATAACTCAGTTAAAAGGCCTGCTGGTGTTCTTCATAGTTTCTGGGAGGAAAGACAGGAACCCTGGTGGACTACTTTATAACCCAAATGAGGAAACATCTGTCAGCATTTAAAGCTTCTATCAGATCTTAAAGGGTCGGGTTGAGTAAAAGACATTGAGAAATCAACTGCCACCAGAGCCTACTTTTATAATCCCATAAATCGAATACATTGGACTGTTCTTGGTAAAAAAAAAAAATGTTTAATGTATGTGGTTTTAAAGTACTGAAGGGTCCTGAAGGTACAAGGGCTTGATACATCTGAAAAAAGAGTCTATAGCTGTTTCTCACTTATCAATCAAATTTATTATCAATCAAATGATGATCACGAGAAAAATACTTATTTTATCCTCTTTTTTGGAACCTGCTGTCCTATGCAGACCTACTCCTAAAGTTATTTTAATATACAAAGACACAAGATGGATGTGGTTTCATTTTGGGGTTATTAGTCACTTAATCTGTTTTTGCAGTATGAAAATAAAGTTAAATACATAAAAAAAAAATCAATCAACCAAAGCTAACTCCCTAACAAAAAAAAAAAAAGGAGAAGTAGACAAAAGAAAAAGGAATTTCACAGCACTTATGCTAAAGAATAACCCAAACCCTTCAAGGCAAGAAGAAACAAACGAGCTACAAAATACATAGTTGGAAAATATTAAGAAGGCTGGAGACTAAAAGGACAGCTGCTGTCAGTGAGGAGCCGGCGACTGACTGAAAGCTCAGACTTGTTAAATGGCAGGGTGCTGAGTGCCTGACCACTCCAACTCTCCATGATGACAGCTCCTCTCTCTCACCAATCGCTGCCCTCCACCTGCCAACTCACACACACACGCACACAGATCCTAAGGACACACAAAGCACTCACTCCAAGATAATTACAGCAGGAGCAGAAATAACTGAATATATGAAGCAATACAATGCAATACAGCCAGGGTCAAATCAGCATTGCATGGCGAGGTGCACAGTAATACTTCTATTAAATGAAATAAAATAAAAATAGACATCCAAAGTTATGGATGACATAGAGAAAGGGATTCTAACCTTTGAAGTAGGGGCATGTAGCTATGAAAAGGACTGGC